TCACAGTCGCAGTCGCACTCCAATAAAAACCGTAAAAACAAGAGTTGAATGAATTTGCGTATTAATGAGCAAAAATGTAAACACCAGGCAGCAGAGCCATTCGCACGCACGGCAATCAGTCAATTTTTCTTATAGAGCCACTTGCTACCTGCTTGTGGCCACTGGATGGCTTCCCTTACGCCCACCTGCGATGGCCCGTCGGGTAATCATTCATAAGTCGTTGTGATGGAAAGAGAGAGGGTGGGAGGGATAGGCAGTTCCCAAGGAAAGGCGGCAACACCAACACTCAACATCAGCAACAACAACAACAACAACAACAACAACATTGATGATGATGAAGAAGAGTGAAAGGGGATCTCACGTAATGCGGTTGCATCTTCTTTTGCCCCTCACAGTCCACCTCATATCGATGGGGCTGGTCACGGCCCCCGATTGCGCAACATCCAATTGTGTTGCAGGAAGCCGAAGAAGATGTGTCTCCTAAGTAGTTCCGCTGTGGAGTGGGGGAGATTTTGCTGGTTTTGGTGCTTCTGCTGCCCCACTCCGGTTGCTGTGTGCCTCTCACCTCCCCAGTTAGCCAATCGGGTGGCCAGGTGGCCAGGTGGCCAGGTGGCCAGGTGGCATGTATAATATGACGTTTAATTAGCAATATTTGTCAAAGTGCTATAACATACTGCATAGGCAGGTCCCATTTCAGGTGCCGGTGTCTTCATCACCAATCCGCGAGCTGGACTGCAGCTTACGTACACTGGACGAAATTCGAGAAGCAACGAAGGTCAGCCCGTGAACATTCTTTGGATTGATAATGCTATCAAATATAAATCTATATATCTATTTGATTCCTTTTGAAATCTCTCAATCCCATCTCAGTAAACCGCCAATCCCTCTTTTCCACTGCGTATATGTATTTTCAGCCGTGTAGCAATGAGGAAATCAAATGCAGCGGGTGCAGCTGCCTGGATGCCAATCGCATGCAACATGGGGAATGGAGCATGGTGCAGGAGCGGCTGGCAGCAACTCCAGCAGCAGCAACAGCAACATTTTGGGGAACTTTTGCGACGAGTCTACGCAAATTGGAATGCGAGACCTCTGACTGTGTGAATAAGATGGCTGGCTTAGCTTCGCTTTTGGCCAAATATTGCGTAATGGTCAGAGAGCCACTGAGCCACTAAGCCGGTTTCGGCTCAGATCCAGTATGGGGCTGGTAGCTAGCGATATGCATCTTTTTTTGGGGTCTTCATCTGTATCTGTATCTGTGGCTTGCTGTGTCCAAAGGACGACAGCCATAATCAATGTTCCGTCTGCGGCTCAGCATCTTCTTGTTTAATGGCCATTGCAACAGACAGCACACACACAGATGGAGGGAGGCCGCTCTTGTTGTTGTTGCTGCTATTAATAACCGTTAATACCATTACCAGTTCCCGTGTCCGTACCCGTGCCCGTACCCGTACCCATGCCCGTTCCCGTACCCGCACCTGTGGCCAGTGCTCAACATGTTGTTAACTCAAAGTCTTGTCGACCTTGGCGAAGATACTCGTACTCGTACTCGTAGCAGTGAAGTGCCTCTCGCATACTGCCCATTTTTCCCTTGCAGACTTCGAATTGCGATTAACACTTGGCGCCGCTCGCCTGTGGGGGCCACCTGCTGCTTAATCCGCTGGTGCCTGCCCCGGCCAAATGGACACGCACTTTCAACTCCAGTTGCCTGGCCAATTAATCTGGCGTTGCATTTAAGCCGACTAAACGCACCCACCGCCTCCAATTGGCTGCCTGCGGGGTGATGCAATTGCAATGAAATCAATTTACTCCCATTCGAGCCCCTGCCGATCGGAGCTGCAATTAGCCATCGGTTCATTTACCATGTATGTGGGTCAACACCATCGGAGCCGAGCTATGCTGGAGCCGAGCCGCGGCAACAATGACATTAACGTCAACACTTGAGCACCTGCCGCTCCAGAGCGCCTGCTCGATGCTGCCTGCTCGAACACGTAACGAATTGGGGCAGCCAAGTGCCAACTGAAGAAAGCCACAAGCAATTACAGGCGCAATCTGTCGAATGAGATGACGACGATGACGATGACGTTGCAGACTGCCTTGGAGGCCATTACCCCTCTCCGTTACGGCGGTCACATTTGGATTAGGCCTGATCCGAGAAGAGTGAGAGCCTGATTGAAGGTTAACCATGCGATGAGAGTGTTGTCTTATGGCTTATTGTTCGCGAGATAAGTGCAAGATATTTCTAGCTGCCAGCCGCGTTGCAACAGAGCCGCACTCAATGGGGCGTATTTGCCATAAAGTTTGGTATACGCTCAGCGGTGTCTGGGAAATGCATTTGCATTTGATTGTCAAGAAGTGCAATTGACAAATTGATTAAAACATTCGACTGTTGCACGTACCACATACACATTAACTTCCCTTGTTGTAAGCCCACCCAACCTTTCTCTTAAGCCAATCCACAAATGCTTTTCCCAAGGCATTTTCCAGCCAATTTAACACGCTTCCTATCCCATCCATGAATGGCTAACTGAAGCTGAAACCTGTCCGCCTGATCGGAGTCACATCACAGCGGCATAATATAAGGCAAGGCACTATATAACCTACATATATAAACGTTCAGATCAATAAAAAGATGCCGTAAATTATGCAACTGGGTGAACAGGGACGACGACTGCGGCGAAAGGTGTTTCCAGAGCTCCTCCATCCATCTATCCATCCATCCATACATCCATACATCCATCCTCCAATTGCAGTTTGGGCACCATCTCCATCTCCAGCCACGACATCTTCGACTGGTGCTAGTGGCCAAAACCAAACTCGATTTGCCAGTCCGCCGCAGTCAGTCGCCCAAACCGCTGGGCACGTTTCAGGAATTTCAATTTCATTTTGCCAAACAAAAAGCGCAAAGAGCAAAAGTAAAATCCCAGCCAGACGACGACACGACAGTTGGAGCTGGGAGTCGAGTCGAGTCGAGTAGCAGAGCCTGTTGCACATTCTTCATTATACGTATATTGGTGGTTTTTTACCTAATTTCGAGTTTTGGTTTTTATAAATTGGTTTAACATGTCGTTGTGTTGTGTTGTGTTGGGTTGTGTCTTCGCTTGCTTTCCTTTTGCAGTGCCTGCATTGAAGGCCGTTCGCCTGGCAACTGCCAATTCAAGCGTCTGCCTCCACCTCCGCCTCTGCCCCTGCCTCCTTTGGGTGTGATGTAACTTCTGGTCTGGGGCGTCGGCTTCGTCTGCGGTGTGGTGTGGTGTGGTGTGGTGTGGTGTGGCCACCTTGTGGACACTGTCGGATTCGATTTGTGCATATTATTTACGAGGCATTCGGATCGTCTCAAAGGGTCAGCCCCAGCGGCCGATCTTTTGCGATCTTCTGCGGTCTGAGAGTCCGTTTCTCGAGTGTTAATTGCAGTTCAAAACAGTTGCCAACTGTTTGGTCTTGGCGCATTTATCAAAACCTAATGTCCAAGCTATTTGGGTGTTCATAAAACGCTGGCCTTATTACCATGCTAAAAAGTACATTTGGCCCCCCGGTAGCCACTGAAGCAGTACGACCACCAGACGGCGGCTTTCGGCTTACGGCTTACGGCTTTACGGTTTACGTCTTCATGCTACGTCGTCCCGTTTGCGGAGGTCGCTAGCCATTTCAGCAGCTAGGGTCGTCCCGTCCCGTCCATAAATGGCTTTTGTTGTTGTACTCGCGTGTTAGCTTGGCCAAATGTCTTTGGCTCTGCCACTGCCTCTACCTCTGAGTCGGCGGTGTCTTTCTTTCTTATTTCGATCATTTTGCAACTGAACTGTGCTAATTGTTTGGCACTCAGGTTCGACGAGCAGTGGCAGAGTCGTACATGGCTAATCGTGCCATATAAAATGCGGGCACGTAGCTCCAATTTCTTGTAGCTTAGCACTACTTAGCTGTGGGCACGGGGCAGCACTAGGCAAACACCCACAGCAATTGACCTTATCGATGGAGGGAGGTGAACCACTATGCACGGCGCGAAGTGATCGATTCGTCTTGAGGATGGCAAGATTTACCATAATTGCGTATTGAATTTGTTTATGGATGTTGATTAATGGCAACAGTACTAATAAGTGCTTATGTGTAATTAAATGACACAGTGAAGAAAAAAAGTACTAATTGATTGTGGCTGTATTATGTTTATATATATTTATATTTTTTTTTTAAGATCTCTAACTCATTTACTTTTATTCTAATTAATGGGATCTTAGTAGTCCTACTTTTACTCTTCTTTTCTCCCTGTGTACCTTTTCATAGTAGTGGTAGTGTCCGAGTACTCGTACAAATCATCGCTGCCAACAACATAATTATTGGTATGTCACATTCTAGCTGTGGACCATCCATTCCATTGCTGTGAAGAGGCCGGACTTTGACTTCGACTCGAAAGCCAACGCATATACTTGAGTCCAAGAGCAGACCAAATACACTGGCATTGTTTTTGGACGGTATGGTACACCTGGGCTGAAGCTGCGGCCGAGGCTCCGCTTTACCTTGGGAAAATCCGCGCAGTCATCGACGGAGGGGTCCAAGACCAAATCCGAATTCGAATTCATCAGCTGGAGCTGGAGCTTGTGCTGCAGCAGAGCCGAGCTTGGGAGCGGAGCCGAGCTTGGAGGCAGAGGCAGCGCCGCTTTACTCTCACTCTCTTGCGGTTTTCGCTTTTGCTTTCGATGGTAGGTTGCGTGCATTTTGCACATGGAACATGGCCGAAGAGCAGAGAGAAGAGAGAGAGCTTTGCTTTGGTTACAGTTTTTGTTTTGTCAAATTGTTGTTGGGTCTTCTGCCGCTGCTGCTGTCGCTGTCTCGGCTGCTGTCGACGCTGACGCTGGCGCTGGAGTTGGAGTCTCAGAGACCGAGACCGAGACCGAGACCCATTCAAAATATAAATAGATGTGCATGTAGGGAAATGCGAATATTGTTCATAGAAGACCTCATCGGAGGCACACATCAGCTCCCTTTTGTTTTGACGCGCTGTTGGTGGTACAGGGATACCAAGCATGAGATCCCTCAGTTTATTGGTTAGTGTTTCTGCCAGTGCCCGCCCCAAAAAAATAATCAATCCAATGTGCTCCCCTGTGAATCCTTGATGATTGTGGAAAAATCATTGCTAAAGAACTGCATGATAATGAAACAGTTGAAGTGAAAACCCTAGTGCTAAAAATACCCACAAATAAACTACAAACAAATGTTGAAATTATCATGAGAAATACAGTGAACTCTTTGTATAGCAAATCGGTGTAAACGAACATCAAGTAACCCTCCCAACCATTTGCCTTCCCCCAGCTACTCGGCGCCAGCTGCGCGCTTGTCATAAGCTTCGCCTTTGCCCATCCCCCCGAGGGAGTGTGGAAGAAGAAGCTCTCGTGGAAAGAGGACTGGGTTCAGGTGTGGAAAACCATCAAGAAGGAGGCATGGGAAACGAAGTGGAAAAAGGTTTCCGTGCCAATTTGGAAGGAAGTTAAGGTAGGGCTCAAGGACACTCAACCCACAGATTGCAGATGATAATCGCAAACTATCCGAACCGTAGGTACCCGTTTGGAAGGAAGAGAAGGTGCCAGATTGGAAAATAGTGAAAAAGCCCAAGTTGGAGGAGAGGGAAGTACCTGCCTGGAAGGAGGTCAAGGTGGCCGAATGGAAGAAGATCACTAAGCCAATTTGGGTGCCCACCAAGGTGGCCGTGTGGAAAGAAATCCAGGTCCCCGTTTGGAAGGAAGTTCAGGTCCCATTCTGGAAAGAGATCCAAGTGCCTGTTTGGAAAGAAGTACAGGTGGCAGACTGGAAGCAAATGTTCGAGCCTCAGTGGGTAAGTTCAGCTCTACTTCCGGTGGACGAGATTGGACCAGATAATTAACCTGAACTCTGCTCAGGTGAAAATGGGCATTCCCGGCGAGAAGTTCCTGGGCAAGGATCACGAGGGCTGGGAATACACTAGCCACGATCTGTGGCGGAAGAAACTCGTCTGGAAACCCGTGTGGAAAAAGGTGTGGCGCACCGAGAAGAAACAGGAGTGGAAAACCGAGAAGAAGGAGGAGTGGCGCACCGAAAAGAAACAGGAATGGAAAACCGAGAAAGTCCAGGAGTGGAAACAGGACAAGAAGCTGGAGTGGAAGGATGAATGGATTCAGGTTGGTCCCCCATTACTCCCTATACCCATTAAGTTCAACGATTAGCTGTGTGTTTTTCTTTGCTCAGGTCTGGAAGACAGTGAAGAAGCAGATCTGGATCAAGGAGAAGCGTGAGACTTGGATCGAGGAGAAGGTGCAGATCTGGCGCACCGAGAAGCGTCAGGTCTGGGCAACCGAGAAGCGGCAGGCGTGGAAGGACGAATGGCAGTCGGTGAACGTGCCCGTCGTCAAGGAGGTGAAGGTTCAGGAGTGGAAAAAGGTGTGGAAGCCCGTTTGGGAAAAGGTCTGGGTGCCAGCCCCCCATGGTCACGGATGGGACTGAGTCGATCTGCGGGATGGGTTCTCTGGTTTAGCCGCAAGCTATGCGACAGCACTGATATCTAATAACTGATCCATGTCGCCCTTCTTCACTCTCTGTTCATCCATCCTCCCTCCACAGAACACCATTGTGTACAACCGACATTGTTGAAATTGTTAAATAGATTTAAACTCGTAAGGCATTCCCCCACTCCATCATGTTGTATAAAACATTTCATTATTATTTCAGTTTTCGATATTTGTTTAACTCTTCCGTCCACTCTTTCTTCCTCTCTCTCTCTCTCTCGCTACCTTTGTGTATATCTTCTTCTCTCTTCCTCAAGTGTACAAATTAGTCATGCGCGCGATTTTGTCTTTAAGTTATACAAAATAAAATCAAAATTCAATGAAACAACGAACAAATGTATACAAATTTTGGTATTTTCTACATATGTGTTTGTGTGTGTGTGTGTTTGTGTGAAATCTGGAAACTATCCACAAACGCAATTGCCTTGTAAATATGTACTTAAACATAATTATAATCCACATTAAGCCCACACAAGAAAACACTTCATGTAAAACTGAAACGAAAAATTAAAATTATTAAAAAAAATAATAAACATAAAAATTAAATGCTTTTAATTACGGTTTAGCGTAAATAACGAACTTAACGCATCCCCAGACACATTTCATATCTCTCGGGCCTCTCGGAGGGTGATGGCTACGACTACGAGGAGTCGTGTACTTTCATTGGTCAGCTGGGGATGATGAAATTTTCGTGTTTTCGGGGCTTTTTCGATGCCCAACAAACGGCAAAGATGCAACTCATAAAATTTCAATCGCAGCCCACGATTTGCGGAAGTTAGATAACAGCCGAAAAAGGCGAAAAGTCCACAGTTGAAGAAGTCATCGTCGTAGCGGCGATCGGTTCAATTCAGCTGGAATTGGAAAAAAGGTCTCGTCTGAAGATGAGAGAGGCCATGAGCCAAAGTCAAAAACTGCAACATGTTGTGGCATCAGCATCGTGATGATGTTACTGATGATGATGATGATGATGAAGATGATGCTAAGACTGTCAATGATCGTGATGATGATGATGGCTCTTGGCATTTGCCGCTTGCTAGATGCCAAATAAATCTCAAGGAAGCATCTCCCCTGCAGATAAGCAGCAACAATACCGTTTCCACTTCCTGTTACCAAGTTGAAGTTGAATGCAGCTGCCTCGTGTCTGCCTGCCAGACAGCCTGTGGTGCCGTGGTGCTGTGGTGCTGATGTCTAACAGCCTTACAATTCCAAGTCAGTCGGTCGCGTCGCCTGTTCGGTTGCAACATGTTGCTTTAATTGACTTGCCACCCGCCTGCCCCTCTCCCTCTGCCTGGCTTGCAGTGTGTCTGTGTGCCAGCAGCAAAACCCACATAAGGTTAGCCGAGGAAGCCAACTGCTGCACTGGTTGCAGTTGCAATTCGAGCCCCAAAAGCGGTGCTGGCGCTTATTAGGTAACCGCCGCCAAAAGTTCGAGTTCAAGCAAACATTCCATTGGGAAAATTTAGGCGGTAGTTGCCGAGTTTTCTGCAGCCGCTGCCGATTCCCTCACGTTATCTTAATGATGTTGCCGAATCTTTTCCTTGGCAAATCTACAATTGATGTGGCAGACAAATGGGCATTTGGGGGCGTCTCTGAAAGGGAAATCGCTTCATCGGGATAAAGATTAGCTCGGAAATAGGCGGTTTTTAGTGGAAAACCTTGTTGAGTTTCAATGCAAGCGATTTCCTTAATGTTTTCCCAAATTTCCATAAGCTCTTTCGAGCTGAACAATTAGCCGCTAATTCAGCCAAGGTCTGTGTCAAACTTCTTTAGATACATATACAACAATGTAAATCCAGTCGATTTCCAAAACATTTTCAACGTGTTGCAATCCAAAATCTCTGCCATCTTTTGTTTTCCCTTTTGACACGGTATTTTGTCACATTTTCAATTTGTTATTAATACGGTCTTTCGGACCAGATCGAGAGTCCGCTCTTCGTTTGATTGCAATTGCCCGACATGGCGTATGCGCAATGTGGATGCTTGACGGAGGCCCGAATTGCATTCCGTTTTTATATAACCAACAGGCAAGTGTCATGCGAAACTGAGATTTACCAACAACAGCAACAACAATAGCAGCAATAGCAACGAACACTTAACGCATTTGAGTGAAGCACATAATTGTTGTTGTTTTAATTATTAAAGCAGCGGCAGCAGCAACATCAAAATCAACATCAACATCTGTGGCATTGCACAAGCCACAAAAACCAAAACAAAACGAAGCAAGCCACACAAAACGAGCGAAAGAAATTGAAAAAATGTAATAAAAATACATTTTGATGAACAAAACAAAAACTAGACACAAAACAACGAGCAAAACCGAAGCGACAGAAATATTTTATTGTAATAAATCTTTTGTTTCCACCCGATACACCCAATTTTAGCCACCACCAAGATAGAAAGACTCCCATCGAGGGTCGGACCTTTTGATACCCTATGATCTATGTACTGATCCCAATTTTGATTGGTGGATTTTGACAATTTTTTCACCGTAACAGACTGCTGAAATCATAATACCCTCTGAATTGGCCAACAAAATATTTCTTTTATAAATATAAATAAATATAAATCCAATGGCAGCTCAGGTTCAAGTTACAAACCGCAGCAGCCGCCGCAAATCTGAGTGGAGCACCGAGGAGCAGAGCCAGAGCACGTGACGCCTTTGGCGCCGCCGTTTGCCAAGCGTGAAACTGCAGCACTCGGCTGGATGGGATGACGTATGGGGGTTGTTGCTCGCCTCGCCTCGCCTCTGAGTGCTCTGCACCACCCGGTACTGTTGACTCCGGCGTGCCGCATATGTGGGCCGAACGAAAGCGATATCGGAGAATTGGAGCACAGCCTCTCCCTGGCACACCCTGGCTGGCTGGCTGGCTGGATGACTGGCTGTGACAACAGCAAGTTGCCCAAGTGCTGCAAGGCAAGGTCGTCCGTCAACTGTGGCTGATTAAAAAGAAGCAGTGGAACGGCAGAAGAGAAGGAAATTAGCGGCCGGCCGTAAAGAGACTGAGAGATGAAGTAACTAACGAAGAAACTAACCAGCAAGAGCCATGACGCTGCTGAAATGGCACTCGAAATGTTGCAAACGAGACGTTGCCCCTTCAGGTACGGGCGGGCACTTCACTTGCATCCATTCGAGCCGTTAAAGATGATTAAAGCGCGGCTCGGAGATTGCGTTGTCAACGCGCTGCTCTATATCTGTATCTGCGATCTATATAAACGATATATTACGGCTCTGGCCCGCTAACCAATCGGTCCCACACAAAAGACTCAGGCAACGAACTCGTTTGTCTGAAATAAAGAAACGACTCACAGCCGAAACTTACTTTTATCAAATTTATTCAATTTTCGCTGAGTGTATAGCATTTGATTATTGTTTTATTTTGATTGCTGCATTAACATTTTATTATTTTATAGTTTTATTTTCTATTAAGTTTTATTTTACCTGATATGTTTTTTATTCTTATATAGTTTAGTATATGGATCTAATTAACAGATCATTTTATTGAGTCAAGTTCATATTTTAAACTGAAAATATATTGTTTCCCCTACTGACTGACAGATCTGCGGCAGATGAAAAGACCTCGAAAGAGTGAAAGATACTCGATATTATCACGAGCTAGATGCCTAATGCCCTTTTTCATTCTTCCCATCTCTTAATCCAAGTTATTTCTAATTTATTTCATCTAATATTCTTTTTCTAATTTATTTCATCTAATATTCTTATATTCTTATTCTTTCTAACCCTATTTTCATTGAGATTATGTACATTTTAGCACAATTACCGTTTTGACCTACTTGTTACACCTGCTGCCACGCCTCTTCATAACAAAATGTTGGCCACGCTCCAGCTCCATCTCCAGCTCCGGCTACGGCTCCACTCTTGATCCAGCTGGTTCCCCCTTTCATTCATATGCAAACGATGTGATTGTCAAACATTGTTTTTATTATTATTTCGCTCTTTTGTTTTATTTTCTCTCTATATTTCCCCCCTATATAGCTGGCTCTTTCTCTGGCGGCAGAGCTGGCTGATTTATTGCAACGCTTTAAGAAAATTGCAGTTTACGACTTCCTCCGGAGTTCTGCGGCCGATACGCTAAATGATCAATATTTGATGGGAGTACGAATACGAGTACGAGTACGGTACGGGTATTTGTCATGTTTCCATCGTCAGTAGCCAGCTCGTCGTTTAGCATCTAAACGTTTGACTAACTCCTTCACCGCCCCCTTGCGCCCCATTTGCATGTTGTAATTTCTGTTATGCAGCAGCAGCATTGAAGACAATGCACAATTGTCGGTTGGGTACTGTGCGACGTGGATGGGGCAGGTGGCTCGTCGATTGCGGGGCGTCAAACGCAATTGTTTGCGAATAGTTTTTCTCCATTTTTTTTTGTTTAACTACCGACCACATCCACATCTATACATCCACACACATACCCTTTACCCGAGCAGCCGCACAGTTTGAATTGGAAGGCGTTTACTCTGAGGCGTCGCAGAAAAGTGTTCATAGCCATACGGATTTATATTTAATGTTGCTCATTTGGGACTTGATTTTGCAACAATTAATTGTATTACGCAAGGCGCCTGGCCATTGAGAGAGTGAAAATTGTAAATTACTTTTGATTGATTAGGCAACTGAAGTATGCAAATGATGATTATGGCCGCAATTGGGTAATATCTGACGCGTGATGGCGTAGTACGGCGGCCACAAGTGATTCCAATTTCACTAACCCGATCCCTGATCTGCTATTTGTTGGCAGCAAAATGCAAAAATCAATATACAATATTGATTTGCTAACAGCTTACTCTCTACTTAGGTGGGCAGAACTAATCTCAAAGTCCCAAAAAAGTATAACAAAAATTACCTTTTACCCTCTTTCCAGATATAAAACGTTATGGAAAATCAGACAGTTTAAGCGAGAGATATACTAATATACATACTTATATGCCCTAGTTGGCTTTTTAGTGGAACTTATCGCAGTGGCAGAGCAATGGCAGAAGAATGGCCACAGCTCTTCGACTGATAGCACTACAAACGGCGGACTATATTCTATTTTGTTGTTGTTTTGGCATTGATTTGCGACCGAGAACGATTTTTGAGGCAGCAATTTTAATGAACAAATTAATTAATTTAGGAACTATTTACAAAAATTGTAAAATTGAATTTTTCTCCAACTACACGGAATGGAATTGTCCTTAAACAAAATTGATATTTTATTTTAAACGATCTGGGGTTTTATCCAGTGTGTAGTATGTATTTGAAATTGTATTCGGTAAAGGGTCGGAATATATGTAAACTCCGCCTGAAAGTATGCAATGCATAATCCGGCGTTGAGTGGCTTCCCAGGCGCGCTTTCCACTCAGTTGTGGACGCTGATCCCCTTTGGGCGCCTCCGCCTCTGTGTTCCGATAGGAGGAGGGCTGCCGACTACCGTTGCTTTGCAGTGCCGAGAAGTAGGGCAGACTAGTACAGATTCAGGGAGGGTTCATAATGTTCACTTTTTCCTCTTTCCTGCCGCACTGTGGGGCTTGCGGTTCGTAAGATGGCAGGTCGCCTTGAAGGGTGTGGACCGAAGGCTCTCTCCTTACAGTATATTGTCTGCGCAATGTAGATTATATGTAAGAATCACGTAGAAATGAATGCAACTCTTAGCTTTTTCATGATGTTCCAATGTATAAAATATAGATATACTAGGGGCTAGTATACTAGTGCGCCAACCCCCGTCCCACTTGTTAAAGCAACCAAACAAATGATACGCTCATCAAGAATTTAAGAGCAGAAATTGTAGGCCTCAAATGTCATGTGCGTCTGTGAACATAAAATTTCTTACCGTTCTACATGTCCTCTTCCTCTTTTCTTTCCGATTTTCGGTGCTTCAGGAGGAAACAAAATATCAGTTTGGTTTTATCCAACATAAATTGGCATTTATTTAATTTAAATTGGTTTCTGTTTGATTCGAATGACACTGAAACTGGAAACTGACAAATTTTGTGCATGCAAGTGTGATCGAAAACTTATAGGGCTACCCTACCACCTACCAGCTACCACCACACGTACCACCCGTAGAGGGCAGGTTCGTTCTGGCCATGGTTACGCCCTAAGCATGTCTCTTGTGTTGTCAATTCAATACATTCGATATTTAATATAGTTAATATATGTATGCGTTTGTAATTGTAATTAGTAATACACATATTTGTAGTATAATGCCGCGCTTAATGATTACGAATTTCGCCTCTTGGGGGTATTGATTCTTCTCTTAATTTGGTATAATATTTGTTTCTGCTAAGAAGGAGCGAGTGATTAGTATAAATGCGTTTCAAACTGCTTGTCTTGTCCCATTTGGATATACAATACATATACTTCCAATGTCTTTTCTTCCCGCTTAGGTCCTTGTGGATGTTGAGTCTGATGTGCGTTGAAGTTGAATGTCGGTTATGTGTCTGGTGTGAATGTTTGACTCTTTCATTTACTCGTAACTTTCTTGTTGTTGTTGTTTTGTTTTTTTTTGCGATGGAAGTTAAATTTTGATTAATGCATTTTATGTAAAGTTAAGTAGAAAATTAGTTATGTATATGTATATGTATGTATGTTTAATTGAAAAATAGCCTTTTCTTTAATCAATGGATACCGCGGATACGGGTACCGTATCGCGTATTCCCTTTGGCAATGAAGCAACACAAAAAGCGATCGATTTGATTCGATTATGCATGCATGACACGAGTACGAGTACGGGACGAGTATAGTATGAAAAATGACTTGACACTTTCGTGATCGTTAATACATATATGTATGTATGTATGCAATGGTATTTGTACTTAGCCTAAGTTGTTATAATCTCAAACCGCTTTGTTGAATTAATTCGTTTTTAATGCCAAAAGTGTGATTATTAGATTTTGTTTTGATTTTGATTTGCCGAAAAGTTTCTAATTATTTTGTGGGTACTTAAAATCTGGTTTCGTTTCGTTACAATTTCTGAAATCCAACGTCGTCCGACCTGATTATCGCTGATTATTGCTTGCTATTTGAATTACTCGAAAATTTGTATGTGATTCCTTATCATTTTTGTTGTACCGATTAAATGCTTTTGTTTTTCTTTTCCACTAAACACTACTTAATATTTGTAGTTCGTTTACCATGAAAATTTGTTATACATTCTATCTGAAGATCTCATAATACACAAGCAAGATTTATTCTCTTCTCTTTGTTTGTTTGGTTTTGTTTTCTCACAACGCTACATTTATATATATATGTATTTGTATATACTCGTATATTTATATAAAATTGCTAGAGTAGTCTGGGTAAGAGTGGATATAGAGTGTGGTTAGCTTGAGAGGGAACTAAAAGCGAATGAAATGAAGCGAACTTAAAAGTAGAATGTAAATTTTCTATAACTGTTTCCGTCGTTTCCCCGTTTTCCCCGATTTAGATAAATGCAGTTCGTGATGTGCACAGAGTCTGGGTATATTCGTATTAAAATCCACTCCGGATCTTATTACTTCGCAGTGAGCAAAGTGCTGGGGCTGTTCAGCACTCTCGTGTCGGCTATTCTAGTACTTGGATTGCGCCGGTTTTGGTTTCGGTTCGTGTTGAATTTGCATAGTTCAGTCTTTGTGGTTTTGAGGGTAGCTCCACGGATTTGCAGGGCAAAAGTGGCGGAAAACCAAGCAACAAATAAATAAAAGAATACAAATTAAAATGTATAATAAAATCATATATTTAAAAACTTACGAGCTAGGAAACTTAGGGTAGAGCGAATGAAAATGAAATTGAAATGGCCAGACATAAACAATTTCAATTTCTCTTAAAGCTTCAAATGCGTATAACCGATGTGCAAAACTGTATATATCATATCGTTCTTGGTCTAAATAAATCGTGCGAGAGTGCATGAGTGTGGGTGTCGGTCGGTCTATGTGGGCGTCCTGGGGATCTTGTATTATACAATTTAAAATGTTGTGGCTGCATTTTGTGCATTGAACAGTTTTCGTTTTGTTCTATTGGAAGCGCATTTTAAAATCAGAATAAAACTATGTTAAAATAACACATGTACAAATGCATGTGTGTACATGTCTGTGTGTATAAATAATGATTAAAAGAAAACGAACACGAATACAACTACTGACTGACACAATTCTACAAATTAAAAATCATCACAAGTCAACGCAAAACGCAACACAAATAAAAAAAAACAAAACTGTGCGCTGTTCATTCAAATTACCAAACGTATAGGAGAAATTATACAATCCGTATATGACTAAATATATTTAATATTATGACTCTGACTTAGGCTAGGCAAAGGATGAGTTGTCTGCTCTTGGCGTAGATGGCAGAGGAGTGGCGTGCGACGTGCACCTCCTCGGTACACACAAGGATGCTTTTCGCTGATATTTTGGTAGGTCTCGCTTAAAACTAAAATACAATATTAAAAATTAGTTCCGTTCCAAATATTCATATGCGAATATGTAAGTATGTTTTTCTCGATTCATTATTAGTTTCTTCCTCGACGCCTTCTCGTATAATTGGTAGTACTTTCCTTTGCGGCAGACACTTAGAATAGGTATTTATATATGTATGACGTATATATGTAATCTTTATGTATGTTTGGTTTACGGTTTACGGTTTACGGCATAGACACTATAAATATGCTGTTGAAATTTACTTTCTTTACGTTATAAATACTTGAAATACGAGTAGTTGAATAATTGTATGCGTGCACACTCTATATGCGCTGTATAATTCACTTTCTCTCCGATTTCTTAGATTTCATTGTGAAATGCTGATGATGCGTTTATGTATGTATCTGTCTGTGTGTTGTGTTCTGTTGTGTTGTGTTGGGTCCGAGGGTCATTCAACTCCCACGCACTTCATGCACCTAAAACCACTAAGCTACAATGCCACGCCCATCGCTGCTGGCGGGAGTCGCTTACAAATTACACTGCCATAGTATCGTAGGCTGTGAATCCTGCGCCATTTGCTTGTTGTTGGAGTTGGAGTTGTTTTGGGCCGGCTTCGTTTCTGTATAGCATTAGGGGGGAATCGAAAAGAAATGTGTGATTAGTCAGTTCAACTTGGGGGAAGTGTACATTAATTAGATCTATGTTTAGGCTGCAACCAAAGCATTGCAATAATACGAGATGGGATCCCGTGTGGGTTCTGTTCTCTCGATTGAAATTCAGTTTGTTATCTCTGAGAGATTTGTCGGATCTATCTGTTGGAGGAAAGCCCACTGGATCCCATTTCGTCGGGGTGGCTGTGTCTTTATGTTCTGTTCATGGTTTATCATACGAGTAGTTTACGTTTACTTCTTGTGTTTGGCAAGCTGAGGCCAAGCGCAAAGCTGCAAGAGACTGTTAGAACTTGTGGGAATATGTATGTACGGGTGTTTGGAGTAGACATAAACGAGTACGAGTATGGCTTGCAGCCTCCTTATCCTAGGCGGTACGGTATCGTATGGATTAGGTTATCAAAACGATTTCAAAACATTCAACTGTGATTTGCCTTCAAACCAACTAGAAATTAAATGAATCAATCAATCAAAATACAAATCAGAAAAAATCAGAAAGCAACTTAAAGACAAACCAAATTAATTGAAACTCGAAAACAAACAAGAACCCGAAACCTTGTTAAAAGTAGTATAAAGATATATAGGTTGGATGCAGTGTCTCTTATAACATATGTATGTACAGGGTATGGACATGCATGGCTTTCGTGGTTAGTCACATTTAGTTAGGGATTAGGGTTTAGAGCTTAGAGTTTAGTTTAGAGAACTTACAACTGTCGACGACTAGTGTCAGCGATCATAATCATTCACAATCAAGTTAGTAGGTAAACGAACAAGAACAAAGGAAATTAGTGGATTGAGATTAGTTACTGCACCAGAACTACGATTAACGACTTGTGTGCATCTGTGATTGAGTGTGTGTGCTCCGTAGATCTCTGGATCTGGTCGCATTGGTCTTACCTTTCAATCAGTTTACGCATCTCTTCGGTGGTGCGCTGATCTTTCGGTTGGGGGGATCGCTTCACAGCTGCGATTTCCGCATTTTATACGAGTATATTCAAAATATTTGCAAGAGAAATTTGTGTGTGTGTTTTTTTTTTGATTTGATTTGTTTTGCCCGAACCGAAAAAGTAGGATATTATATATTTGGATTTACAATGCCATAAAATAAATAGAAAGAAAAAAATGTATCAAATGAAAATAAAACATTGGGTATCGGCTTAAGTCCAAACACGTGTTCGATGTCCCATCGAAAATGAATAATTCGTGCAGGATAGAGGTAGTGGTAGGGGTAGGGGTAGGGGTAGGGTACTTTGAAATGAGTGTTGATCCCACTAGAGAAGGTCCTCTATGAGGTCGCCGCATGCAGATTTCTAGTCACAAGGGTTTCGATTGCTCCCCATGGTCGTTAGATACGAAACATAAAACATTGAGGTGTGAGAAATATGTGCGCCATGAAGTAAAATGAAATGTTAAGTGTGCAATTTGAATGAATCTTAAAAACGAATATCAGAAATATAAAAATAACCAAAAACCAAGTAACAAAATCTGAATAAAAAACTTAAGACATTTACAACACGGATGTTCTTTTGCAAAATTGTTTAGCAAAACACAGCATGAATATTTGTGGAGTGTATGAGCGGGACAACCAAAAACACTCTGACTGATGGGAAATGAGGGGGTCACTGAATCTATTATATCTTGAGCATATCTTTTATGTGACGATGAGGGGGACCGTGAGGAGTCGAAGTATGAGGGTGATTGGTTATCGAATGATGATGGATAATCACACTATCTAGCTCAACTTCGGCTTGCATCACTCACCCTCATTGGTGTCTTCTGATCAATTTATGTATGGTTATATTTTATACAAAAATTTCGAAAAAATAGAGTTGAAAGAGATGACGAATTGGTTGTGTTAAAATTAGACGAATTCGAATTTTGGAAATTTACCAAAGCGAATATGAGGTTATATATCGAATGCAACAACAACTTGGGTCTCGTCTGAGCATCTCTTTGGGTCAGAACTTACCGCCATAGTGGCCGCGTGGTCCGTGATCGCGGTCGCACTCAGCCTCTGAGATCTCGTTGCTCTCCTTGGAGTCGTTGAATGAGGAGTTGCTCATGTCATGGTTGCGTGGTGGCGGTGGTGGAGGCTCGGGCGAGCCATTTCCAGGATTGCGAGCAGAGCCTGGCGATCATGCAGAAAGATCAGTAGAGATTCGACTGGGTATCGACTGGGATTCTCTGGTTCGCGTTCACTTACCGACGCTGCGGCGTCCCATGGATCCACGAGAGCCGTAATGATCGTAGGGCTGTCCATACGGGCCGCCGTACTGGGAGCCATACTGATCCTCCTCGGGGGCACAGTTGGCTGGATCATCGTATTCGGGTCCGGGTCCAGAGTACAGGCTGCCGCCCTGAGAGTTGACGCGAGTGTAGCGACGCTGTAAAAGGGGAAAATCAAGTCATGCCGCCCGCACGGATCCGTTTACTCACATATTGATCCTCCTCGGCACAGTTGGCTGGATCGTCGTATTCAGGAGCTGGAGTGTAGATCGACGACTGTCCGCCCTGGCTGTTCTTACGTTGGTAGCGATTGGCGCGAGGCATCGACTGAGATCCCGATCGCGAGTGCACATGTCCTGGGTGTCCGGGTGGCAGCATGGTGCCGGCATGGCCGGGCACGGGGCCAGTGTGTCCGTTCTGGTGCGGGAAGGTCTGGAAGTTCATGGCCTTGGTGGGATCCATTTCCTCGCGGAATCCGAGCAGGTGGAAGGTGGCATAGGGGCAGATTTCATCTTCCATGCCTTGCGGGAAGAGAACTCAATTAGCATGGGTGTTTGGCTCAACTGCTGGCGACAGTGGTGTCTCGAGTGGTTCTGTTTAGTGTTTTTAGTATGTTTGAATGAATCCTGTTCCCCCATAGCCATTGCCATAGCCATAGCCCCCATTAAATGGTTACTTACTACTTTGTTAGCTCGATGTGACCAGGCGGTAGACTACAACTGGTTAGTGTTGGTAAATCAACTAAACGAGGATCAGTGGTTGGGTGTGGGTTAGTTTCGGAGTTGGGGACTTGGGGAGTTGGGGGTGTGAGTACTGAAATAAAAAAGACCGCAGAGGGAGGCAGCTGCTCCTCTCCAGTCCTCCTACCTGGATGCCTGTAGTGGCACTCAGCGTTGCCGTGGGCATGACCATATTGATTGCCGTGCAGGGGCACTGGCGGGGCCTTCAGCTCCTCGTACAGGTTGGGGCGACGCGGATCCCACGTGGAGTGGTTCGAGCGCAAGCCACCGCGGTGGCCTATGGTTTCGTGTTACGCGATCGTTTCGTTTTATGATCATGGGGTGTGGTATGATTCGGTGTGGTGGATTCGTTTTCGTGTGGTATTTTTCAAATTTCCAATTTCGTACAACATCAAAGATAAGTCAATGGAAATCATAATGGAACCGAAGCAACCGAAGGGTGCGGTGGGGTAGGAGAGTGGGAGGCAAGAGGTTTAAATCATAAGTTCAATTGCAATCAAAAATGTAGGGCTGCTTCCGCAATATTCGACTCAACATTGCGGATGTATCCCGAATAGAAAAAAGCTTAACTCAAAATTTATTTTTTCTAAATTTACAACAACATTTAGGAATGGTTTATTCTTTCGTTCATTTCATGCTGGGAATCTTTTGGTTCTGGGAATAGGAACAGGACCAGGACTCAGGGAGGACTCAACTCAAAAGGAGCGCTCCAAAAAAGCAACATTAAGAATTTTTCGGTCTAGACAAAAGCTTAGCTCGAGTGTCGTGTGTGGGCAGATGGGCGTGTCACCGCCTGCCTCTCTGAGTATGTGTCTGAGAGCAATAGCAACGCAAAATACTTGATATATTTTCGGTTTCTTTTTTATCTTTTGGTTTGCAAAGTAAATGGAAGAAAGAACTAAGCCCCAGGCCATGCCCGGGGATGCTCAGGTGCACTGTCTCCCCGGACGTGGGCTCGAGGCATTAATAAATGTTGCATTGGAAATTTAGATGCTTACTTATGACTGTACCTCGCTTAATCCGGTCGCAGGTGTTGTAGTTGGAGCCGGGCACGGGGGGCAGCTTCCGGTTGGGGGGCGCTATGTAGCCGAGCTCGTCGCGCAGGTCCGGGCGGCGCTTGTCCAGGGTGGCGCCGGGTCCCATTGTCTGATTGTAAACTACATCGTCTAGAATTAATATATGATATCGCCAACTCAATATTGAAACACTGAAGATGCTTTTCCGTCATTGCATTGCGGCTCGAATGCAATCAACTCGCATACTTTACTTCTGTTTTTTCTTTTCTTTTTTTCTCGATTTCGACTTGTTCCGTCACTCGTTATTGGATTTTGAAAATTATTATAACCTTTTTTGGTTGGTTTGGTTTTGTTTTTGGTTTTTTTTTGGGTTTGGTTTTTGGTGCGGCATTTCAACACACTAAATGTGCTAATTAGTAGCTCAAAAATACAAGTTACAATTGCGAAAAAGATTCCAAAAGATGTTACGTGAAGTGTTTTTGGTTTTCTGGTTGAGTCTCAAAATATACCAACTGGTCAACGATTAACATTTAGCAATTACGATTAACAATGGAATGAAATGAGCGATGAACTTAATTTTGCAATTACTCGACTTTACTTTTAGCATTGATCCAATGAACGATCTCGATTGCGATTTCAAAAAGCATCTTAGTTTGGTTTCAAAGAACAGGGGAAAAAGTGCGGAAAGTGTTCAACTGAAAACGGTTACGATAGATTTGATTTGATTTGTCTTGTTTTGTGGATGATATGTACGAGTATAGAATATAGCTATATAGATAGGATAGTATTTGTGAGAAGTCGTTTCGAATGTAAAAGTTGCTTAGGTCATAAGCAAAACGTATATACAACAATAAGGCTAGCATAGGTATACGATTATCTTTTACTTGGGTTCAACTAACAATTGGATATAGGAAAGGACCAACAGCTTGTTGCCTGGGCTGTTGGCCCTTTTTCAAGTAAATCTGTACATTTTGAATCATCGCAAACTATATTTGAAAGTTAATTTTCCAATTGGCTTCAATGACGATGGAAAATTAATGATACTAGGTAGTTGTATGGCACAGACATTGAAACAAATTGAATATATTATTTATAAGTATTTATACAGTAAAACTGGGTATATTTTCAGTACTTAGTACTTGGTATATTCTGTTGGTATATTTTTGTAGTGCAAACATTTGGTTTATTTCTGTGAGTGTAGCTTGTATGAATGTCTCTACTGATCTACATATGTAAGTGTGTACCATATTATATCATGCAAATAGCGTAAAAGCAGACACAGACATTCCATAGACGACGTAGTTCAAAGGTTTACCATGGATTCTTTGTTGATAGAGTGACGGCTAGAAACAGAAAAGCTGATCGTCCGACATTTAGCCAAAACACAATAAAACAGAAATAAAATATCGAGCTAAACTAAAAATAAAATTCAAATCGATGGGTTATATAATGGATAGCAACACATGGGGCCTCTGAAACACCCCAAGATCAGGGGAGAACCTACAATAGACATCCTTCTGGCCGCCGCGCAGGTCGTCGGCTCGTCGTCGGGACAGGGCCACGCACACCACACAGATGCCGACCGCAACCACAACGACGGTGGCTATCAGCGGCACCATGAAGTTGAGGTCCAGCCACTCGGGCATCCAGGCGGGCAGGCGGATGCGGGTGTGGACATTGCCATGGCCGAGGCCATCGTCCAGGGGGGCAATGGTGACTTTCGAGTGGCAATTGATCAATCGATTGATATACAAACCAGTTGAGATATCATGCAGACCAACGACAACATTTCATGCAGATATTTCAAGGCAAAAGCGCAAGTGTTTTCGGCCGTGTGTTGTGGTTGTGGGTGTAGACATGTGTGTGTGTATTTGTGTGGGTGTTTCAGAGAGATAGAGAGAGAGAGAAACCGAAAAGAGAAAACGAAATTCTTAATTAGTTGGATTTACTTATAGATACCTTTGTGGTGATTGCCCTTGCTACGCAGTATACAAATAACAATTATCGCTATTATTATGACGAGCAGAGCCGCCACGACGGGCACAACTAAATTGAGGTTCGAGAGGATAATGCGGATCGTGTCCTCGGCGCTTAATTCGGGTAAATCGCGCGAGGGGGCGATAGTGCCTGCAACAACAATAACAACAACAACCAAAGAGTGTTTGAGTGGACAGGTCCAGGACAGTGGGTGGGTGGGATTCGGATATACGATTACACACAAAGGGAGAGAGACAAGGAGAGAGACAGAGAGAGACGGTTGAGAGAGAAACTCGTACGAGTATGGCAATCTTCTGTGGCCCTTCGGCTTCTCCTTCCTCTTCTTCACATTGACTTTTGTACCCAGACACACATACATATACATATACAAATACAGACAGTTATCGTTGGTGAAAGAATCGAATACAGGAATCGATAGCAAATCGATATCGATTCGTTTCACAGACACAGAGAGAGAGAGAGAGAGATATAGAGAAAAGTGATTAAAGTAATTGGTTTTTGTTTGTTTTTTGTTGGTTATTTTACAATGCGCAGAACTTGAGTAAATTGATCTGAAAACTAGTTTAATTGAACTATTGGATATGTAGGTTTAAGTTGTAATTGTAACGATGTAACGATAAATTGTATAAAAAACACTTTATTTTAAATACGATTAAATGCAATTTGTTTTTTAGACCGCTTAAAGCTAGTTGTAATTAATGATGTACGTACGAATACGAGTATGTATGTATGTAAAAATGCTAACTGGACCAAACGCATTGAACAACATTCCAAGAATGGCAGATATCTGTTCTTGAAATAAACCAACTAACTTAGGCGGAACAACTCAACTATAACTTGACATAACTGAAATGAATCGTAAGGAATCTTAATGTAATGTCACAAATCACAAAAACCCAAAACAAAACGTATCCATGTAACTGTAATGAATGTATAAGATATATAAGGAAATCAGCTCTCAGACTCGCTCGGCTCTCTTGTCGGATCGGGTCTGAATGCACTGGACACTGGACTCTGGACTCTGGACTCTGATATGTATGTTGGATGCAAAATCTTTGGTTGTTGTGTATTACTATGTTTTTTGTTTTGTATTTTTAATTTTTTTTTTGTAGTGGCTCTGCTCGGTTCCCAGTTTTGTTTTATCTTTTCCTGTGTTTATATATTTTCTGGTATATTTTTGAACGAGCATTTTGCTATTTATAAAATCAAATAAAAATCGAAATTAAGATGCTAAAATTATGGCTTAATCTGTGAGTGGGGGAATGGAATGGAATCTGTGACCAGTTGTGGATGGGAATTAGAGATGTCTAATCGCTGTGATGAGGTGGCAGAATTTCAAGGAAAAGAAATATTCTTGAAGATCGAATGTCAAAAAATTCTCCGACTTGAGCACACTGCTATAAAATGGAGCTTAAAGAAGATTTGTTTGTTATTTTTTTTTGTTTAGCTGGGAATATACAAAGATTGGAGATTGGAGTTTGTACAATCTTAGAACTGGGGGGATGGATCGCGGGGTACGACAACATTTATTGTACATAAATACGATAGTGCTTATTGTACATATCGCAGACTAGTTCCTTTTCTGAAGTGTGTTTGGTAGTAGTATTTGTACAAAATCTCTTTCACAAACTGGGCACAGAAATGCAGAAAATAAGAATTAATCAAATAAGTAAAAACCATATATTCATACTGTGATCTCTAGAACTACAAATGGATCTATTGTGAAATAAAAACAAATAAAAACATTGCTGATCGTGAGTTGGTTAACTATTCAGTTATGTTCACATAAAATATATATGCACCTCTTCGCTTATTGATTGGGAATACTATGGATAAAAACGGAAAGAAACAAATTGCATTTACGTAAGGAAAATGATTAGTTTTTTACACTAATTATTCGGGTGGCACGGCGTTCAGAGTTCTGGCATTTGACAACGAAACAATAAACATTACAAAATATAAAAAAATGGAACTAGTTTCTCAAGCTTGGTGCTCACAAACAGAAAAGTACAAACAAAACAAAATCGGAGGTAATTTACTGTGCAATTTGTTCACATTGAAAATGAAATAAAAAATTTGCTCATATTTTTTGTTTTTTTTTTTTTTAATTTTTCTTTTTGTTTTTTTTTGTTTTGGCAAAAGGCAAAATCAACTCAGGAAATATATAGAATGTGTGTGTGTGTGTACAACATTTTATGGCTGGGTGCTTCTCATCTTGTTATTTGTATATGGACAGTGCTGGGGGGACCCGATCCGGATGCCTCTCCACCCGACAGCCCCCGCCCAGGATCGGAGAACGGCGGCTGCCCCATGGAGCGGCATTCTTTGGGCTCAGGCTGTCCCACACTGTCTACGCAGAGTACTCTATGTACAAAAGCAATGCGGGAATCGTTTTGGAACTGGGATTCGAATTGGAAAACAGATCATAAATACCTCCGGTCACGGTCAGAGTGGCAAAGTCGTATTCGGCCACGGTGAAGCCGGCAGAGTTGTGGGCAGTGATGCGGAGGTTGTACCAGGTGGCGGGCTCCAGGTCGAGCACCACGTAGTTGTTGTCGGGCTTGACGTTGTTCGAGATCTGGTTCCATTCGATTTGATCGCTGTGGATGTTCATGCGGGAAGGTTAGGTTAGCAAATGTTTGTTTGGGAGAACGTGTCATGATGATCCTCTAACCGTTTCTTGCTCTCAACCACGAAGTGAGACATGGGGCAGCCGCCATCTTTCCAGGCCTTGAAGTGCAGCGAGACGGAGTTGGACGAGACCTCAATGAAGCGCGGCTTCTCTGGCAGCTTGGGCTTTTGGCCCTTGGTGCGGGTGTTCAGAATGTCGGACGCCTCGCCGGCACCAATGCTAATCACAGGAGGGGGGAGGTCATTAGATCGGACGTGGAGTGGATGGATGTGAAAGCTACTCACTTGTTGAATCCTGTGGCGTAGACCTGGTAGCGGGATCCGCAGAGCAGACTCTCAATGTTGTGCTTCTGCGAGTCCACAGACACCTCAGCAGTTTCCCATTCGCCGAATTCTGAAACAGATTTCCCAGATTTACATTATTGAATGGGAGAAGTCTTCCCCAACCCAAGGATACCCACCTGGCTTGTAGTGCAAGGTGTAGCCATGCAAGGGAGCGGTGTCTCCTTCATGAGGCTTCAGCTTGACGGTCAGGGCATCGGTGGTGGTGGCCGAGAGGGTGACATGGGGTGACTGGGGCGGTGCCAGCACAATCAGCTTGTGGGTGATGGAGTCCTTGGCAATGGAGTTCTCGGCATGGCAGGAGTAGTCTCCGGCATCCTGACGGTTCACGGACTTAATCAGCAGGGAACCGTCGGGCAGGAGGCGCATGCGATCGTTGGCACTGAAGTCGACGCCCTTGATCTTCCAGGTTATCTCGGGCTGGGGGGCGCCGACAGCCAGGCAGGGCATCTTGGCGTCTTCCTTGAAGGTGGCGGTGAACGTGTCGTCGAAGGAGGCAATCTTGGCGGGCACCTGGTCGCTGGGCATGGCCACAATGCTCTTGGACTGCTGACCCTCGCCGATGGTGGTGCTGGCCGTGACCCAGAACTCGTACGGTTTGTTCTTCTCCAGCTCGCTGGCCTCGAAGCTCATTTGGTAGTGGGGCACCTTCTGGGTCTTCGTCTCAGTCTCGGCGCCCTCGGCCTTTGAGTAGACGGTGTACTGGGTGATGATGCCGTTGGGCTGCGCCGGTTGGCGCCACGAGACGAGGATGGCGGCGTTGCCCATCACCAGAGCCTTCACATCGGTGGGTGCTTCGGGAACTGTAACCGGAAGATAGGAGAGTTATAAAAGAGATATCCTATTGCTCATTGACTGGCACTCACCATCTGGTTCAGTTTGGCAGTGAATGGGGGCGCTGCGAACGCCATCGCCTCCGGCTGTGGTGGCCAGCACCTGCATCGTGTAGTTGGTGTACTTCTTCAGGCCATGCAGAACGGTGTCGGAGGAGGCGGTCTTCTTGTAGTGTCGCTTGGTTTCATCTGTCGGTTAATTGTTGGAGTTAATTGGAGGTACTGATTCTCTGGAGGACTGATTCTGATTCCCACTTACCGTACCACTCATCGCTGGGGGCATATACAACCTTGTAGGTCTTGATCACGCCATTGGCCGACTCCAGGGGGGGGCTTACCCAACTAACGCGTATGGTCTGGGAGGTGAGAGTGGTGCAGGAGGTGTCGCTGGGCGGCTGGCTCGGTGTGCCTTCGGCTGTGAACTGCTTCTCCTCTTCGCTCAAAGGTCCTGCTCCGATCTTGTTGAATGCCTGGATGACCACCGAGTACTGGGTGTAGACACGCAGGTTCTGCAGGTCCAGGATGTGCTCCTTGCCCTCCTCGGTGATAAAGTTAATGGTCTCGAAGACATACGAAGAATTGGTGTTGGATAGCTTGTACCCGACATAGTAGCCCAGGATCTCGCCGTTCCATTCGGTGCGTGGTGGGGGCTTCCAGGTGACGCGCATGGTGGTCTGGTTCACGGGCTCCACTTTGATGTTTTGCGGCTTGCCAGACGGAGCTTCCTCGGCGGTGATGATGGTGACGGCCTCCGATGATTGCGAGGTGCCAATCACGTTCTCGGCCACAATGCGGATGTTGTAGGTGGTGGCGGGGCTGAGTTTCTGAACCTGGGCTTCGGTGGTGTGGCCGGGGACCATGACGCGATCGATCTCGCTCCAGGAGGCGCGGGAGCGCTTGAACTCGATGATGTAGCGGTTGAGGGGAGAGTTTCCGTCGTAGGGCTGGGCCCAGCTCAGCTGCACGGATCTGCCGGACTTGTCGAGGACCTTCAGGGCGTAGGGCATCTCGGGCACCTCTTGGACAATCATGTTGATGCTGGCATCGTCGGATCCAAAGGCATTGGTGGCCACACAAGTGAACAGAGCAGAGTCGGAGCGTTCGGTGCGCTTGATGGAGAGGCTGGACATGACGCCGGTGGAGAGGATCTCCTCACGGATCGTATAGCGGTTGTCGTTCTTGGGGTCCAGGCGCATGTTGTTCATGTTCCACAAGATGCCGATCGGCTTCTCGCCCTTGGCCTCGCACTGCAGGACGGCGGGTTCGCCTCGTCGGGCGGTCTGGTTGCGCAGCTTCTCCGTGAACTCTGGTGGGGCCTGCACGCTGATCATGATCACGGCGGAGAGACCTGAGCCGATGCCGTTGATGGCCTCGCACAGATAGTAGCCCTCGTTGGTCTTCTGGATGTTGTCCACGTGTAGGGTTCCCTCCTCCACCCGAATGTTGTCGCTCTTCTTCAGATCCTTGTACTCTCCGGGTGTGTCGCCTGAGAAAGAGATTCATCCTCATCAGAGTACTTCTTTTAAGGGTTCCACTGATGTTATACGTACCAACTGCTTTCTTCCAGGTTACTTGGGGCTTGGGGAATCCATCGGCTTTGCATTCCACCTTGGCGTCGGATCCCTGGGCGAAGGCCTTGTCGGTGGGCTCAAGAATCCATCTTGGTGGCACTATACGTGGTCGAGGTTGTGGTGTGTGGAAAGAAAATATGTTAGTAAGGCTGTTGCGGTTTCTCTGGATGATATAGTAAAAAGCATGCGGTTGGCTTATATCCTTGTGGATAAGCGGATTGACTGGACGGACTTTTGGTTCAAGCAAAGTAAAATGTTCTTTAGGAAAGTGGAAAGCGATCTTCAAAGATGAAGGACGTTAAGATTTAGTGAACATCATTTCAATTTGCTTTTACTGTGCGAAAATATTCTTGATAATCTCCTTTAAAGGTTTGCTTTGCATACAAAAATATTTCCACACTTGTTCTTATCTTTAGGATTAAATAAAGAAGTCTAACTACAACCAAGTACATTATTAGCATAATAAAGTAACCAAAACGTTAACAGGACAACAGAAAGTTGGGCTTTAATGAAACTGAAAGTTAGAACAAACTAAAGGTTAAAGTTCATGCAATTTGTGCAAAACGAAGTAGTGTTCGGGGTTGTTCTGGACAACTATTTCTCTCATACGTTTCTCATACATTTCTTTGCGAACAGACTTCGTTTTGTGCCTTAGTGACTAGGTAAATGATTTGCAATAAAATGAAAGTTAATTAATGAGGAATGGGTGGGGGGATGGGGGGACTCGTGGGTTCTTTCTCGGGTCTGGAGTGGACTGATCGGGGACGAAATGTTACGTTTATGGAGGCGCGCAGGACTCAGCCTCAATGGCGGCAGGCTGAGTGCCTCTCAGGCTACGATTAAGTACTGTTTTCGTTAGGTAGACATTGAGAAGCGATTAATATGGTATAGATCTTGCTGTTGTTGCTGTTGGTTGGTTGGTTTGTTGGTTGATTATCCTCATAAATAAATATGTATGTGTTAACATATAAAGGCTTAAGCAAAATTGTCAGGCTGTGAGCTTTCTTCGTGAATCGTGGATTTCTTGAAGAGTGCTAGTAGAGTGCTCTGTGGTCTGTGTTCTGTGTGGGTGTGCGTTTACTAGTGTGTGTGTGTGTGTGTAGAGTGTTTGTGCTGTGGTATGTGTGATGCAGTCAGATCTGAGCTGATTTTGCCATACATTGGTACGATTCTATGTATTTAAGTATCTAAAGATCAGAGAAGTAATTGTTCGAGTGTAAAGCGTGTTCCATACATTGCTTATATACAGTGCGGATCATAATTATAGTTCAAACTTCACTAACGAGTATATACTCGTATGTATCTAGACCCCAATCGAACTGTTCTACAGTCTTTGGCCTAGAGAGTGAAATAGTCAAAAATAAGTCAAGCATAAACTTGATTAGAGCCGCTGAGGGAAGAGACAAAAAAAGAGAGCGAGAGTGACTGAGAAGGAGAGAAAAAACGATGGTGATTCCCCATTCCATTTACCATTCACAGTTAGCCTGGCCTGGCGCTCTGCCACGCCCACCTGATTGCTGGCCCTGCAACTGTAGTTGCCCCCATGGCTCGCCTGCACCCTGTGGATCAACAGCAGGCTCGTGTGCTCGCCCACCGTCGCCTGTTGGACCGCCGCGACGTCGTCGCGCCCCTCGTGGTCGTGCACCTGTATGCCGTTGAGCCACCACTCGAAAAGTATGGGCGTGGCACCGCGGCTGGCGATGCACGTCAGCTGCACATAGTCGCCCACATCGCAAACGGTGGTGGAGAGCAGGAGGGGAGCGAGCACGGGCGGTTCTTAGATAGGAGAGGAAATCGGAAAGGTATGACGTTATCCATGATGTTATTCAGAACCTAAGAGGGATCGAACAGATCCATTCTGCATTTAGATCATCAAAAAAAAAGTTCTTTAAGCAGAATCTATTGGTTTTTGTCCTATTTTTGGGGATCTATTGTACTGAAGATCCCTTTATAAGAAGTGTTCAGACAGTATCAGGCTAACTATCATAAAATTTAGTAGAAAACCCCCTACCCTCTATATCCATTAATCTATTATCTATAGTTAAGCTCATTTAATTTACCAAAAGTTGCATTTTCTGATGTTCTGTCCAGTCTTTGGTCGATTCGGTTGGGACTGGATGTAAAAGATCTTTGTACAAATGAAAAGAACATACAATTTTCACCTGAACCATCTATGACAGTTCGTATATATGTACATCGGTATGGTCGTAGTACCCTTCACTTTCAGGCTGGATGAGCGACTGGCCATGCCTGCCGCATTGCTAGCCACGCACGTATAGTTGCCGGAGTCGCTGATGGTGGTCTGGCGCAGCGACAGTATCAGGGTGTACTCGTCGATCTTGTGGTATATGGAGCGGAGCAGCGGCTGGCCGTCCTTCAGCCAGTATATGTCGATGGGCAGATCGCCGGAGGTGACCATGCACATGACACGCACCGCCTGGCCGCCGTTGACCCCGTTGGCATTGAAATGAAATTGCTCGATTTGGGGCAGCTCTAAGCGGGTGAAACGAAAGCCGTGCAATGGGTGAGTGGCGTGGGAAATCGGGGTGGGGCAGCAAAATATCCCCACCGCGTGTTATATATAATACACATTCGCGCTTAGGCATTACCAACACCAGACAAAGGCAGAGACAGAGACAGACACAGAGGCGGAGACGGTGACGGTGACGGGGAAAGAGATTTACAGATGCGTCTTGAACCTATTCTAGGAGTCTACCGCTACCAGGTGTACGTGGAACCAACCCTTGACACTGAGATGGCTCTCGGCCGTCGTCTCTCCCGCCCGATTGGCGCCCCGGCAGGTGTAGACACCCGCATGGCCGCCCTGGACGCTCTCGATGTTCAGCGAGCTGCTGCGCCGGCTGTGCATCATGATGCTGACCCCGGGCAGATCTCCGGCCGGCTGGCCATTGTAGTCCCAGGTGATGTTGAAGGGCGCATCCCCGTGCACCACCGCACAGGACAGTTGGTAGTAGTCGCCCACATAGAGGGGGGAATTGACGGGCAGGGGGGCCAGCTTGGGCAGCACTTGATGGTTTTTCAAATAAAAATGATGAAAAGTTATAATTAAACAAAAAATATAAATTGAGTTGATTTCAGTTGAGTTGAGGGGAACCCTAACGAAGAAAAGGGTAACGCGTGAGCCTCAACTACCCTATCTCTAAGAAAACATATCTGAAATAAAGAGAGCACAAGTCTTGTCTGAGTTCTATATGGGTGGGTGATTCGCTTTCAGTTCAGATCAGGATCAGTGCGTTCTTATTTCAGTCATGCAAGTAACGAGTATTGTGTGTGTGAGTATGTCTAGCTTAACATTCTACAAAAGAGTGACAGATGTAAGACAGAGGCAGGGTCTGTTGCAGTTTAACAGAGAAAGAGAGAGAGGATGATGCATCAGACGGATGCTTCTGGTTAGTAGAGGCAGCCACAACGAACTACTCAAGCGACCCGGGAGGGGGCAGGGATTCCATAGATTCCATTCAGGCTAACCATAGACATTCAGTGGCGCTGTGTACTGCTGAAGGCCAGCCGAGTTGCGGGCGTGGCAGGTGAAGTTGCCCGCATGCGAGGCCTCGACGGCTTCTATGGTGAGGACGCTGCCCCGACGGCCCACACGAGCCGTGCTGATGCCCAGATCCTCGGGCATGGCCTGGCCATCCAGCGTCCAATCGATTTGCATGGGCAGGTCCCCGCCAGGCACGGAGCAGTGCAGCGTCAGGTACTGCCCCACCTGGGCGGGGCCCTCCTCGAAGGCGAAGGGTATGATGCGCGGCAGAACTGCATAGTGGTAGTCGTGTTGTGGTGTTGATGATGGTTGGGAAAGTACGAATAAAAAATAAGGTGCACAAATTATAATAATCGTAATGAGAAGCGCTACAAGGTTCTCTAGGAATTTTCTAAGCGTCCGGTCCACCTATCACTCTCAGCTGGGTGCTGTAGGTGGCCCTGCCGGCGTCATTCTCGCCGTGGCAGCTGTAGTTGCCCGCATGCCGCGCGGCCACACTCTCGATGGTCAGGACGCTGCTGCGCCGCCCCATTTTGGCAATCAGTATGTCCTGGTCGTCGTCGTTGAAGAGCGGCTGATTGTTGAACGTCCAGCGTATGTTCAGGGGGAGGTCGCCCTCCGTGAGGGTGCACTGATAGGTTATGTACTGGCCCAGATGGGTCGGCTGTGAGCCAGTGGCAAAGGGCGTGATTTGGGGCAAGACTTTGATGGATAAACAGAAGAGAAACTGAATCAACCAACTGAAAATAACGATCTATCTAATTTAAATCTGACATTATGGAGCTGTGGCCCACCATTGACCACCAACGCCGCTGTGTACTCCACCGCCTGGGCCTTGTTCCGGGCCCGGCACGTATAGTTTCCTGCATTGTTGCCATTCACCGAGTCAATGGTCAGGACATTCACCTTCTTGCCAATCTTCGATGTGGTCACGCCATGATAGTCATTGATGGCATAGTCATTGAACAGCCAGGTGATGTCCACGGGCAAATCGCCCTTGGAAATTGTGCACTGAACGGTCACCGAGTCGCCAAAGTTGGCCGGTTCATCCCCGAACTCAAAGGGACTGATGTGGGGTGGAACTTGAGGGATTAAAACATAAATTATAGTACGGATAGATGGAAGGAACTGGGAGGGGGTTACCCACTCTTATATCTCACAAAGTCTCCCTAAAAAGATTCTTAGTTCTACAAAGCTTATTCACAGATCCAATAGATTCTTGTATGAGCCCTGAACTGAACAGCGATCAAAAGCCAAGACACAAAGCGAAAGCGGACATGCATCTTGCGCGTGTGTGTGGGTGTGTGTAGAGGGGTGACAGGGGAAGGATGTGGGCCACATATAGAAGTACCAACAAAAAAGGATTAATACACTCAAGTTCTATAATCTCCGCTATACCATTCACTATCAACTGAGCCGTGTAGACGGCCGAGGCCCACAGATTCCGCGCCTTGCAGGTGTAGTTGCCCACATGGCGGGCATTCACGGCATCGATCATCAGGACACTGAGGCGCTTGCCCATCTTAGACGTGGATATGCCCGAGTAGTGGTTGATGGGATACTCGTTGAACAGCCACTCAATGTCGAGCGGCAGGTCGCCGGAGCTGACCAAACAGTTCACCGAAACCGAGTCCTCGAAATTGGCCGCCACCTCGCCAAAGTCAAAGTGCGCTATTTTGGGGGCCACTTGAAAAAGGGTGGTGGGAGGTAGGGCTACAATTAGCTCGGGAATCTCAACTAAAAACTGTACAAACAAACTGAAGATGTATACACATATATTACAGAGGGATACTACGGAATAGGCCTCCCCAAAAGTACCATTCACGATGAGTTCTGTGGTGTAGTTGACAGCAGCCGCGTGATTCTTGGCTCTACAGCTGTATTTGCCCGCGTGACGAGCCTGGACACTGTCAATGCTCAGCATGCTGTTCCGCTTGCCGCCCTTGACCACATTGATGCCCGAGTAGGAGCTAATCCCGTACTCATTGAAGAACCACTCGATGTCGATGGGTAAATCCCCGCTGGAGATCAGGCAAGTGACCGAAACAGAGTCCTCGACATTCGTGGGATCCTCACCAAAGGTGAACGGTGTGATCTTCGGAGGGACTTTGGAGCGAAGGGAATTTAAAATCAAGAATACAAATGATAACCAAACGTCTTAAGCCTATGAGGGTTCTTTGATCATTAAAGAGGGAATAGAATACCATTAACAATTAATTCAGCTGTATAGTTGACGGCAGCTGCATGATTCTTGGCCCTACAGCTGTACATCCCCGCGTGACGGGCCTGGACACTGTCTATATTTAGCATACTGTTCCGCTTTCCGCCCTTGACCACGGAAATGCCCGAGTACGAGCTGATGCCGTAGTCATTGAACAGCCACTCGATGTCGATTGGTAGGTCCCCGTTGGAAATGAGGCACATGACCGAAACAGAGTCCTCGACATTCGCCGGAACATCGCCAAAGTCAAAGGGCGTAATTTTTGGAGGAACTTGTGAGGATGATATGGGTTGGGAATAGATTACTCAACTTAACTTTTTGTGCCACGAAATCATAATTCAAATTAGTGTTTAATTATTCTATTGTCAACTATCTGTTAACCATTCACGATCAGGGCGGCCGAGTATTCGCTGCTGGCCGCCTTGTTCTTGGCCTTGCAGCTGTAGTTCCCCGCATGGCCCGCGTGGACGGAGTCGATGGTCAGGACGCTGGTCCGTTTGCCCCCGCGTAATACCGCAATGCCGGAGGCGTAGTTAATCGACTGCCCGTTGAACAGCCACTCGATGTCGATGGGCAGGTCCCCAGAAGACACAAGACAGCTGACGGAAACAGAATCCTCAAAGTTTGCGGGGGACTCCCCAAAGTCGAATGGCGCCAGCTTCGGTGGGGCTGAGAGGAAGGGGTGCGTACATATGTGGTGCGGGGAGTGGAGAGTGTTATCAAAGGAAAATCAACATAAACAGAAAATACGAGTACTCTACTCTATTTAAAGCTAGTCTACAGGCCATCTACCATTAACAATAAATTCAGTTGTAAAGTTCACGGCAGCTGCATGGTTCTTGGCCCGACAACTGTATTTTCCCGCGTGACGGGCCTGGACACTGTCTATGGTCAACATGCTCGTCCGCTTGCCGCCCCTGTAGACAGTCATGCCGGAGAAGGAACTGATTCCAAAGTCATTGAACAGCCACTCAATATCGATGGGTAGGTCTCCGCTGGAGATCAGGCAGGTCACAGACACAGAATCCTCTACATTTGTGGGTTCTTCGCCGAAGGTGAAGGGTGTGATCTTTGGGGGGACTTTGGAGTGAAGGAAATTATAAATCGGGAATCGAAATGATAATCAAACTTCTTAAGCCTATGAAGAGCCAACTAATTCTGAGAGAAATACCATTGACAACTAGTTCGGTCGTGTGATTTACGGTAGCTGCATAATTCTTTGCCCGACAGCTATACTTCCCCGCATGGCTGGCGTGGACATTATCTATGGTCAACATGCTCGTCCGCTTGCCACCTCTTAGAACAGTCATGCCTGAGTAGGAGCTTATTCCGTAGTCATTAAACGTCCACTCAATGTCGATGGGCAGATCTCCGCTAGAGATCAGACAAGTGACCGAAACAGAATCCTCCACATTCGTGGGTTCCTCACCGAAGGTGAAAGGTGTGATCTTTGGGGGGACTTTAAAGGGGGGAAATATTTAAACAAGGACAATAACTCATAAATAAAAACTCTTAAACATAGGAAAAATGTTCACTTCTGGAAAATACCATTAACAATCAATTCCGTGGTGTAATTCACGGCAGCTGCATGGTTCTTCGCTCGGCAACTATATTTCCCCGCGTGACGGGCCTGAACATTATCTACTCCCAGAACGCTGCTGCGTTTGCCGCCCTTGACTACGGTTATGCCGGAGTAGGAGCTGATGCCAAAATCGTTGAACATCCACTCAATGTCGATGGGCAGATCTCCGCTGGAGATCAGACAAGTGACCGAAACAGAATCCTCCACATTCGTGGGTTCCTCACCGAAGGTGAAAGGTGTGATCTTGGGGGGGACTTCATATGGAGAGAAAATATAAATCAAAGAATACCAAAGGAAACTAAACGTCTTAAGCCTATGATGCATCTTTAACCTTAAGCAGAAGTACCATTAACAATTAACTCCGTGGTATAGTTCACGGCGGCTGCATGATTCTTAGCCCGACAACTATATTTCCCCGCATGACGCGCCTGGACACTGTCAATACTCAGAACACTATTCCGCTTGCCCCCCTTCATTACGGAAATGCCCGAGTAGGAGCTGATGCCGTAGTCATTGAACAGCCACTCGATGTCGATGGGCAGATCCCCGGTGGAAATGAGGCAAGTCACTGAAACGGAGTCCTCCACATTGGCTGGCTCTTCGCCAAAGCTGAAGGATGTGATTTTGGGTGGAGCTTGGGGGCACAAGGATGTAAATGATAGTCAATAAACGAAAGACAACACTTAAGGATACCGAAAGAGAGAGAGAGAGAGAGAGGTAAGGATGTGTGTGTACAACCGTTGACAGTCAGCGCAGCCGAGTATTCACTGCTGGCCGCCTTGTTCTTGGCCTTGCAGGTGTAGTTCCCCGCATGGCCCGCATGGACGGAGTCGATGGTGAGGAGACTTGTCCTCTTTCCCCCGCGCAGGACTGCGATGCCGGTGGAGAAGTTGATGGGCTCTCCACCGAGCAGCCACTCGATGTCGATGGGCAGGTCGCCCGAGGTAACCAAACAGTTGACAGAGACAGAGTCCTCGAAGCTGGACGGAGACTGGCCAAAGTCGAAGGGCGCTATTTTGGGCGGGGCTGTGTGGGAAGTGATTGTAATGCGGGATGGAAATCATAAGGAAAGAAATAGCACTATCTGTTATACGTATAGCTGATCCCCCGCTCAGTACCGTTGACGACCAGCTCTGCGGTGTACTCCGCAGAGTCGGCATCGTTGCGGGCCTTGCAGGTGTAGTTGCCAGCATGTCCGCCGTGCACCGAGTCGATGGTCAGGATGCTCGCCTTTTTGCCGCCCTTCACAATGGACACGCCGGTGTACGCACTCACGTGGGCCCCGTTGAGCAGCCAGGTAATGTCCATGGGCAGATCCCCCAAGTAGATGAGGCAGTTCACGGATACAGACTCCTCAAAGTTGACGGCATGATCCCCAAAGTCAAAAGGGGCAATCTTAGGGGGAACTTGGAGGGGAAACAAGTCACGTGGGGTAGGGGGAAAACAAAGAAATACCGAAAATATTGTAATTCTCATTCCATTCTGCATGCTACGAAGGATTGTGTTCGGGTATGTTGGTAGTACCATTCACCACCAGCTGGGCGGTAAAGTTGGCCGATGTGGCACGGTTGACGGCCACACAGGTGTAGTTGCCCGCATGCTGGTCGCGGACAAAGTCAATGGACAGGGCGCTGATCTTCTTGCCCAGCTTCATCATGGACACGTCGTAGACATTCTCATTGATCTCGCGTCCGTTGAAGTACCAGGCGAAGCTGACGGGAAAGTCCCCCGAGGTGACCAGACACTGAACGCTGGCCGACTCCCCGAAGTTCGAAGGTTCGTCCCCGAAATCGAATTGAGCAATTTTGGGAGCCACTTGGGGGCAGGAGGAAGGGTAGGGAATGCATGGGAAAAGGGTAAACAAAAAAGGAAAGTTCAAAATGAAACACACATTCTACATATTGTTGCGTATTAACCTAACCGTTCACTTTCAGCTCGGCCGTGTGGTTGGCACGGCCGGCCCGATTCTCGGCAATGCAGGAATAGTTTCCAGCATGCTTGGCCGACACCGCCTCGATTGTCAGCTCGTTGATGCGCTTGCCACGCTTCGTGGTGAGGATTTCGAGGTAATCCTCAAAGGGCTTGCCGTTCAGGGTCCAGGTAATGTTCACTGGCAGGTCACCGCCCGAGATGGTGCATTGCACATTCACAAACTCCCCATAGCTCATGGACTCATCACCAAAGGAGAACGCACTTATCTTTGGCAGTGCTGGGACGTTAAAGATTGGGGTTGACGGGTTTTCAAATCAAAATAAGTAAATTATATATATAGCTTATGTGAACTAATCTTAGACCTAGGTAAGGATTATGTCCGTCTTTCTGGGCTAACCATTCACAATCAGTCGCGCCGAGTGGGCCGTGAGACCCGCCTTGTTCTTGGCATGACACGAATAGAAGCCGGCATGATGGCCAGACACCGACTCAATCGACAGAACATTGATCCGCTTGCCGATCCGCGAGAAAGATATATCATGGTAGCTGTCGATGGTGGCGTTGTTCAGGAGCCAGGTCACGTTGATGGGCAGGTCTCCGCCCAGGATTGTGCACTGCACAGAAGCGGGTTCGCCGTAGTTGAGGGGCTCCTCGCCAAAGTCAAAGGGCGCTATCTTGGGGGCAACTTTGGGGCAAACAAGAGGCAGGTGTGCAGTATGAGTACAGTCCAGTTAGATAGATGAGTTAGGCAAAGATAGAGGGTTGTTTAGGTGGATTAGTAGCAACGCATACTCGTACTTTCATAAACCCTTAGATCTAGTCCTAGTTATTCGAATTCGATATTCGTTCAAGTACCATTTACTGTGAGATCAACGCCGTAGGAGGTGGTGCCAGCCGCATTGCTGGCAATGCAGGTGTACCTGCCCGTGTGGGCGGGACTGGCGCTGGGTATCGAGAGCATGCTCGTCTTGCTGCTGATGCGATTGGTGCGCATCTGCGGCTGGAGCTGGTCGTAGCTAGTGTCGCTGGGGCTGCGCTCGAAGCTCCAGCTGACCTTGATGGGGCGATCGCCCTTCTGGATTTGGCAGAACAAATCGATGGAGTCGCCCGTGTTGATCACATCCTCAAAGGCAAACGGCACGATTTGGGGCAGAACTGAGAAGAGTGTGGGTGTGGGTTGGTGGGGGTTTCAACATATCAAAATGAACGGAGGAATACTAAGGTACATCTATGAATATTTATGGGTAATCAAACCATTCACTAGCAGCTCGGTGGAGTAGCTGACATGGCCCGCACTGTTGCTGGCCACACAGCTGTAGTTGCCCGAGTTGCCGGCCTTGACCGACTCCACTGTCAGCATGCTGATACGCTCGCCGATCTTGCTGGCCAACACACCCAGATGCGAGAAGAGGGGCAGACCGTTGTGGGTCCAGCGTATCTTCAGGGGCAAATCCCCCTTGGCTACATGGCAGGTCAACTGAACGCTGTCGCCCTCATTGGCCTCGGCATCGAAGCTGAACGGATGGATGCTGGGCAGGACTGGGAACGCATTGGGGAAAGGGACACGGACACAAACACAGAAATGAAAACAGAAATATCAAAGAAACAGAACTGAAACCTTAGCAATAATTTAGGTATTAAGCAGCCAGTCACCGTTGACTTTCAGCTCCGCACTGTAGCTGCTCTCTCCGGCCTGATTGCGGGCCAGGCACGTGTACAGTCCGCGATGCTCGGCCGCTATATAGTCGATATTCAGGGTGCTCGACTTGCTGGACATGCGACCGATCACCACATCCAGGTCGCCGCTGTTCAGCGTGTGGTTGTTCAGCACCCAGGTTATATTGATGGGCAGATCGCCCTTGATCACCGTACACTGTATGCCCATCGTCTCGCCGGAGTTGGAGGCCTCGTCGCCAAAGTCAAAGGGTCTTATTTGTGGGGGCACTTCAACGATACGATTGATTGGTTCGGGGGATGGAATGGGAAGTGGGAAACGGGAAAACGTAACGTAATAAGACACAAAAAGTAATACAAAACGTTCTTAGGTGGAAAAGTGCTGTATCCATTAACCATTGACCACCAGTTCGGCACTCTGCTCGCTACTGCCGGCCGGATTTGTGGCAATGCACTTGAACAATCCTCGGTGATTGCTATTGATCGAGTCGATGCTCAGGGAGCTTAGTTTGGGGGACATTTTGATGATGCGTATGCCCACATTCTCATTGGTGATCGGCTGTCCATTCAGCGTCCAGTGAAGCAACAACGGTGTGTCGCCCTTGAAGACCATGCATTGTACTGCCGTACTGTCGCCGTAGTTGGAGGGTTCGTCCCCGAACACAAAGGGCATGACTTGGGGGGGCACTAAACACAGGAAGAGAGCACTCAAAACTCATTCTATTCATCTAAGCACAGACTCAAAATCACTTGAGGACTGTATTCAGCGGAGCCTTAGGCAGTTTCTAAAATGTTTTTAGTGAATCACATAAAATGTTCAGCACGGAAGCACAGTCAGCTATTTTTAACCTCCAAAAACTCAATATAGGTTGTAATAATCATATTCAGCAGTCCTTTAGGATGATCAGTTCAAGTGCTCTGTGCTCCAACTCTAAACAACAACACAACAAGAACAACAAACAAATCGGTGAGAGCTCTGCTCGTAGGCATAGGCAGGTGGTAGTTATCTGGTTAAAGCGTGCTCTTATACTGTATCGAAGCGGGTGTGAGGGGACAAACCATTCACTTGTAATTCAGCCACGTATTCGCTCGTCCCGGCCTCATTCGTGGCTGTGCACTTGTAGACACCGCGATGGAAGGCGCTCAGCGAATCAATATTCAGCAGACTTGTGCGCTTGTTCAGCCGCAGTTCAGTAAAACCATTCTCGCCGTTCACGATTGGAGCCGAGTTGAGGCACCAACGGATCTCGAGGGACAGGTCACCTTTGGGCACCACGCAATTGGCACTAGCAATGTCCCCAACATCGGCGGCGGCCTCGCCGAAGCTGAAGGGCAGCACCTGAGGCGGCACTTGGAGGTGTGTGGGGAGGGGGGTTAATGATTAAAACACAAGTAAACCAGGCCAAATAAAGGATTAACTACACAGTAAGACTGATATGATATGGTTAATGACCGTTGACGTGTAATTCAGCGCTGTATTCAGCGATGCCCGCCTTGTTGCTGGCAATGCACTTGTACAGTCCGCGATGGCGGGCCTCCAGCGCATCGATGCTCAGGGAGCTGGTGCGCGGATTCAGGCGCGACAGAGAGAAACCATGCTCCCCCGTTATAATGGGCGCCGAATTGAGGGTCCAGCGTATCTCCATGGGCAGATCCCCCTTGGGGACCATGCAAAAGATGCCAGCCACCTCTCCAGTGTTGGCCGGCTCCACCCCGAAGTCGAAAGGTTGGATTTGCGGGGGAACTTGGTGACGAAATGAAGACGAAAAAAATAAAAACTAAAGCAACTCAAAGTAAAGACAAAACTACGAGTACATGGAGATCGGGGATCGGGGAAGGGGGATCGGGGATCCAGACAAACCGTTCACATCTAGAGTGGACACGTGCTCGGCATAGCCCGCCGAATTGTTCGCAATGCACTTGTAGCTGCCCCGATGGGCGGCCTCGAGGGAGTCGACATTCAGGGAGCTCGTCCGCTTGTTCAGCCGCACAATGGTGAAGCCCAGCTCCCCGTTGACTATCAAGGCGGAATTGAGGGTCCAATAGATGTCCAGCGGCAGGTCGCCCTTGGGCACCACACAGTTCACGCTGGCCACCTCTCCGCGGTTCAGGGGCTCGTCGCCAAAGGAGAAGGGACTGATCTGTGGTGCAACTGCGAGGGGGGGAAAACATCTTCAGCACACACACTTTTCAAAGCTCGAGAACGCACCAACGCCAACGCACAATAAACCGAGTTCGTGTTAGTAGGAATAGGCAGGACGCAAACTACTGGTAGATCCGAGGGGGTGCTTTCACCAACCATTTACTTGCAGCTCGGCGGCAAAGATCGCCCGGCCGGCCAGGTTCTCGGCCACACAGCTGTAGGAGCCCCGATGCCTGGCCTCCAGGGCGTCCACAGCCAGATAACTGGTGCGACTGTTTAGCTGCATCACTGTGAAACCATTCTTGGCGCTCTCCAGCGGCTCCCCATTCAGGGTCCAGTGGATCCGCAGGGGAAAATCCCCCTTGAGGACCACACAGTTGATGCCCAGGACATCGCCCATGTTGAAGACCTCGCTGCCGAAGCTGAAGGGCAGCACATGGGGCGGCACTACACGGATATGGTGGGGTGGTTCCAAAAATAATCAAATAAATAATACAAAATAATAAAATAAAGATAAAGATCGAGGTTCGCTGCGGTTGGCCCTTCTCCATATACCGTTCACTTTAAGCTCCGATGTGGTATAGCTAGATCCCGCCAGATTCTCGGCGATGCACTTGAACAGCCCGCGATGGAACTGCTCGACGGCGGCTATGTTCAGGACGCTCGTCTTGGGCGAAAGTTTCAGTATGGTTATGCCCTCCTCTCCGTTGATGATGGGACGCGAGTTGAGCGTCCACTTGAGGGTGATGGGCACATCGCCCTTCTGCACCATGCACTGGACACCGGCATTCTCGCCCGTGTTCACGGGATCGTCGCCAAACGAAAAGGGTGCGATCGAGGGGGGAACTGCATGATTGGATGGGGAGGTAGGGATTCAAAACTGAACGCAAATCAACGCAAAAAGGAGCTAATCTTCAAAGGAATCAATCGATTAACCTTTGACTGCCAGAATAGAGGACTGGCGGGTCTCCCCCGCATTGTTGGTGGCCACACAGGAGTAGTTCCCCGCATGACGGGCCCTCACGGACTCGATGCTCAGAACGCTGATGCGTTGACTGTTTCTGGTGACGATCAGACCATCGTTGGTGTAGACGCGACCGCCGTTCTTCGTCCATGCTATGTCGAGGGGCAGGTCGCCCCGGTTCACCGTGCAATAGGCCGAGACCATGTCCATCTCGTTGATGACATCCTCGCCAAAGTCGAAGGGCATGATTTGGGGCAGGACTGGGGCAGGATGGGTGTGCAAAAGAATTCAAAGAAAACTTAAGAGAAGTACTAGACGTGGTGGCAGAAGGATTAACCGTTGACTGCAAGAATGGAGGACTGGCGGGTATCCCCCGCATTGTTGGTGGCCACGCAGGAGTAGTTTCCCGCATGGCGGGCCCTCACGGACTCGATGCTCAGGACACTCAGGCGCTGGCTATTCCGGGTCACGATCAGACCATCGTTGGTGTAGACGCGTCCGCCGTTCTTGGTCCAGTAGATGTCCACGGGCAGGTCGCCCTTGTTTACCGTGCAGGAGGCGGATACCATGTCTAGCTCGTTGATGCTGTCTTCTCCAAAATCAAAGGGCACAATCTGGGGCAACACTGGGATTGGGGTAGAAGGGAGTGACAAACAAAAGAACCAAAGCAAAAGGATAGGCAACAATGCTTAGAGATTGAGAAGGTCTTAACCGTTGACAGCCAGGATGGCCCAGTGACGGGTATCCCCCGCATTGTTGGTGGCCACGCAGGAGTAGTTCCCCGCATGGCGCGCCCTCACGGACTCGATGCTCAGGACACTCATGCGGGTGCTGGTCTTGGTCACCACAATCCCATCGTTGGTGTAGACGCGACCGCCGTTCTTCGTCCAGGCCACATCGATGGGCAGATCGCCCTTGTTGACCGTGCAAGAGGCGGAGACCATGTCCAGCTCGTTGACACTCTCCTCGCCAAAGTCAAAGGGCACAATCTGGGGCAGCACTTTGGATAGATGATAGATCGGATGCAAGGACGCAGGTGGAGATGGAGGGGTTCATAACGGGAACACAAAAACCAAAGGCTGCAACAACTACTCAAACTACGAATCAATCGACTCTAGAGTGGGGGCGGAGGAAGGACTCTCTAATCACCGTTGACACGCAGCTCTGCCGTGTGGTAGATGACCCCGGCCGCATTCCGTGCCACGCAGGTGTAGTTGGCCCGATGCCGGGCATGCACCGACTCGATGCTGAGCATGCTGATCCGCTGCGTGGTCTTGGTGATCAGGATGCCATCGTTGGACATCAGCCGGCCCACACCGGTCGTGGGATCCGGGGCCGTTGTCCAGTGCAGTTCTAGGGGCGTATCGCCCTTGTTGACCGTGCAGGTGGCCGAGACCATGTCGTTCATGTTGATGGTCTCCTCCCCAAAGTCAAAGGGCACTATCTGCGGTGGGACTGAGTGGAGTTCCGAGCGGATTCGTGAGTGAAACAAGCGACCAACGTTGATGTGCGCTGAAAACCTGAACCCGCCCATGGAGTGTGGCTGTGCCCAGAGTTCTTCTGGGCTACAGCTGGAAGGCTCGACTTACCCATGACTTGGACTTCCAGGGAGCCGCGCGCGGAGTAACCCTCCTGGTTCTTGGCCACGCACGTGTAGGTGGCCTGGTCCGAGTTGCGTTCCACGTTCTCGATGATCAGCGTTCCATTGGGGAAGACCTTCTGCTTGCGGTTAATGGGCAGGGCGCGGTTGTCTAGAATGATCCAGAAGTGAGTGAAAATCCTAGAGACAGGGGGAGGGAGGAACCCATCCCCTACTTACCACGCTCCCAGACAATCGAATCGATGGGATAGCCAGCAACGGGACAGGTGACAATTAAGGTCTCGCCCGCGACGATCGCCTTCTTCTCCATCTGACGGATGTAGGGCAGGCCGTAGACATTCAGCTTGGCCGAGTGCTCCGCCTCGCCCACCTTGCTCTTGGCAATGCACTTGTAGAGACCGCCGTCGTTGGCATGCACCGATGTGATGTTCAGATAGGAGACCACGTCCCCGTTGACGGTGACGTACTGGCCGACCTGGTAGCGGTCGTTGTTGGCGATCTTCTTGCCATCCAGCTCCCAGGAGATTTCGGGCGTGGGATTGCCGCCGGCAACACACTTGAGGAACACACTGGGGCCCGGTTCCATGGTCTCTTCCTGGAAGGCCTGCCGGATGACGGGGGGATCGAAGCGGCCTCCGAGCTTCAGCTCTGCACTGGCCTCGGCCGACTCCTGGTCGTTGCGCACAAAGCACTGGTACATGCCCTTGTCCTCCTTCTTGACCGACTCGATGCGCAGCACGGGCTCGCTGTGTCCCATGGCCTTGCCGTCCTTCATCCAGCTGACAGTCTTGATGGGATTACCCGTGTACTGGCAGGTGAACACGGCCGGTCTGCCAAAGTCCACGGTCTGTGTGGGTGGATCGATCTTCGCCGACAGGGGGGCCGTAACGGTTAGGACGGTCTCAACGCTTTCGCCACCCACCGAGTTGTTGACGACGCACAGATATTTCCCAGAGTCCTCGACGACGGCATCCTTGATGATGAGAGTCCCAGAGACCTGCTTCACGCGATCGTTCAGCACCACGGCCTGTTTGCGGGTTGTGCCCTCGATGAATTTGTACCATCTGGAACGGGAGGAGCGTGGGTTAGTCGAGCGGTTCCATCGGCCGGGGCTGGAGGACAGTGGGGGGCACAGAGTGAGCAAGTCTAGAAAGTCTTTCTGGGATCCTGGGGCTACTCACGTTTCTCCGGCATGGCATGTGGACTGGCCTTTACTTACCTTGAGCTTTCTTTCTTGTTTATCGGGGATATACCTTGCTCATTCTGTGCACCACTGTTTTGGGGGTTTTTCGGGGGCAGAACCTAACCAAAACCTAATAGGAGATCTACCTATAAACTGGCACTGGATAACCCTGTCCAGGACAATGTCCTACAAAGGTCTCACCCAATGGCACCTCATTGATTTCAATGCTCTTGACGGCTATGCGTGGCTTGACATGGCCAATGGGCTCTGAAAAGTGGAGTGGATCATAGAATACTCTGAGAGAATGGTTCCCCAAACAACTGCCTGAAGGATGCCTCTATAGAGGCGTTCGGGAATATGTACCTAAACACGGGCATGGGATAGGCTTGTCCCTGGCACAGAATGGAAAAGCTGTGGCCCGTCTGCTGGGTCTGCTCCTGCAGGCGATCACCCGAAACCGTGGGAGCCGCACTCCCAATGGGTTCTGCAATTAAACGAGGATCCGTATGATCTCTATTCTGCCTAAATATTGCTGTCGATGGGGCATTGGGGGAATCACCTGAATGCGGGCGTGGGAAACGACTGACCCAGGCACAAAATGCCCAAGTCGGTGTGGTCTGTTCTGGTCATTTCCTGCAGCCGTCCACCGGATATCTTGGGGGCCACACTACCCACGGGCTCTGGAAAGTTTTTACTACTTGTTTAAGGGGTATTCCGTTCCTCTCAAGGAAAAGGGGCGAAAACTGCCTGATTGTCGGGACTAACCTGATGATCGGCACGGGATAGGCCTGGGCCTGGCAGAGCAGGGCAAAGCTAGTCGCGATCTGCTTGACAAACGTGGAGCTCTTGGACTCGCCCGAGAATGTGGGAGCCTTGGCGCCTACGGGCTCTACAAAAAGAACAATAGTCGAAGGTTCAAATGTGGTGGGGTCTAGGGTACGCTGAGACTTATTATGCTATGTTAGGGCTACCTTATCAAGGGCACGGGATAGGCCTGGGCCTGGCACAGCAAAGCGAAACTCTGGCTCAAATATCGCACGAATGTGTAGCTCTTCATGTCGTTGGCAAAGGTCGGACCTTTGGCACTGACGGGCTCTAGAATAAAACGAAAGGAGACGGGTCTCTACCTTATCAAGGGCACTGGATACGCCTGGGCTTGGCAGAGCAGCACAATATCACTCGAACTGGAGCCGAGTAGACTGGATATTTTCGAGACACTGGCAAATGTGGGCGCCTTGGCCCCAACGGGTTCTGCAAATCAAACAATACTTTTAGGGTGCGGATCTTCTAAAAACTGCCTGAAGAAGGGTCTAGAGTGTTGGATCTACCTCATGAGTGGCACGGGATAGGCCTGGGCCTGGCACAGCAATGCGAAACTCTGGCCCACGGAACGGGTGTAGGAAAACGAATTGGAATCCGTTGAAAATGTAGGAGCTCTAGCGCCAATGGGTTCTGCAATACAACAATTAAAGTCTCATCGTATTATAGACAAACATATGCTAAGGAAAAACTGCCTGGGGGGAATTGGGTGGTATTCTAAGGCTAACCTCATGAGGGGCACGGGATAGGCCTGCGCCTGGCACAGCAATGCAAAGCTCTGGCCCACGGAACGGATGTACGAGAATACATTCGAGTCCGTTGAAAATGTGGGAGCTCTAGCCCCAATGGGTTCTGCAAACCAACAATTAAAGTCTCATCGTATTATAGACAAACATATGCTATGGAAAAACTGCCTGAAGGGAATGGGATGTAATTTTAAAGCTAACCTCATGAGGGGCACGGGATAGGCCTGCGCCTGGCACAGCAATGCAAAACTCTGGCCCACAGCTCGGGCATAGGAGAAGGAGTTGTAGTCGGAGGAGAAGGTGGGAGCTCTAGCGCCTATGGGCTCTGTAAAAGGAAACGAGTAAAGGTGACATCTCCGCCTGAAACTTGCCTAATGATGGGCACGGGATAGGCCTGGGCCTGGCAGAGCAGGGCAAAACTGGCATTGACCGAACGCTCAAAGATGCTCCCCTTGGAGTCGCTCGAAAAGGTCGGAGCCTTGGCACCAACGGGCTCTAAAAGGAATACGTTTCACGAGTAAAAGCTTATAGAACTATATATCATTTTGTATATCCTATTCAGAGTCAGAACCAGTTGAGCAGCGTTGCACCCTTCGTTAGAATGGGGAGATGGACTATACCTAAAAATGGGCACTGGATAGGACTGGGCCTGGCAGGTGAGGGCTACGGCACTATTCTGGGGCGTCTGGATGGTAAACGTGGAGGCCACGCTGGGAAAACTTGGAGCCTTGAAGCCCACGGGTTCTTGAAAGAAACATTTTTGTTAGGGCTTTGGCCTTTTAATGCCCCCATAATGAAAACTGACTGAATTTTCGACTTCTTTTCGCAAAAGATTTACCTAAAAAAGGGTACGGGAAACCCTTGCGCCTGACAGAGCATCGCAATGGTGGAGGCTAAGGGAATACTCTGCTGAAATCCCAGCACTCCAGTGGCCACAGAAGGTGCCTTGGAGCCGATGGGTTCTTGAAAGAAACGTTGACGTCCGGTTTTTAGCCGCGAAGGTTATCATAATAAAAACTGACTGAATTTTTGGTCAAGGACGAGCTTTCTATGGATGGATTCCTATAAGATTTACCTAAAAAAGGGCACTGGAAACCCTTGCGCCTGGCAAAGCATGGAAAAGGTGGAGGCTAGAGGAATACTCTGCTGGAATGACAGCACTCCAGTGGCCACAGAAGGTGCCTTGGAGCCGATGGGTTCTGGGAATAGGGGAGTAAATCATTGCATTAGAAGATGACCCGAACAAAATCTGTTGAAAACTGCACTGAATGGGGGTGGGGGGGTTTAGAGGGTGGGGTTTAGAGGGATGGGGAGCTCACCTAATGATGGGCACGGGAAAGGCCTGCGCCTGGCAGAGCAAAGCAAAGTCCGAACCCATCAGCTTTTCCACCTCAATGAGCTTATATTCGAGGGAAAAAGTGGGCGCCTTGGCGCCCACGGGCTCTGTAAATATTTATATCATGGATCATGGATTATAACCCAGAGACTAAAACTCAGAGAACTGCCTGAATTCGGTTTAAGGAAGCTTTCGCTTCTCTAATTTCAATTAAATTCAATTGCAGCCCCTCGGAGACGTTGTACGTGACTCTGAGCCATGAACCCTGACCCTGGATAACCCACCTCAAGATATCACGAAACTTTTCAGAGACAAACCAAAAGAAAACAGCGAAAGTGGATGGAAAGTGATGCATATTTCATTAAGGTCAATGCTGATGGCAAGGGGCATGCGCAGAATCGGAAGCACAGCTGCGAGGTGCAACAAGTGGAGCGCCTCTTAGTGGGAGGGGGGAGGTGAGTGGATGACCTCAAGAGAGTGGAGACAAAGCCCGTCGTCTATTGACCCAAAAACGTGCGTTCATTCATAAATAAATGTGCGAGCGAGATGGATGCAATCCACACACACACAACGATACGCGCGGAGGGGTAATTGTTTGGGAAATTTCGTGTGGATCGCAAGCATGCGCAGAAGCTTTTATGTGTGGATTGCGGTTCCAGCTGATTGTGGAAATTGTAGAGTGGGAAAGAGGGTGGGAGCTTCTCTGTGGGTGGGGTGGGGTGGGGTGTGTGAGAGTGGGGAAAGAACGTACTCACTCTCTTCTGATTTTACTTTTATCTGTATCGTCTGTGTGGGTGCAAGGCACATTGAATAGCGGGAAAGTAAGCCCAGGAACATATACAAACAGAACAGAACAACCGCCCCACCTTCAATAGAATATACCCTGTGTGTGGGTGTGTTTGTGTGCGTTTGTTTGTTTTGTTTTGTGTGTGTTTTTATTTGTTTTACTCTGCGCGCTCGCATTTTTATGAATGAACACAGAACACACCTCCCACTATGTCTGTCCGGGGTTAAAGTTCACACATTCTCATGCATAATAAATGTCACGTTTCTGGGGAGATGGAGGGTATGTGCTTAACCTGCTTATAGGCACCGGATATGCCTGGGCGGGACATAGCAAAACAATATCTCGGCCGCAATGTCGCTCGATGCCGGACCATTTGGTGTCCACCGAAAGAGTGGGACCCTTGGCCGAAATGGGTTCTACGGAAGAGTATTGGAGTGAGAGTATATAGAAGGACTATGCCCAAGAGATTGCCTGAATGCTGACGTAGGCGACTGTATTGCTAACCTGAAAGCGGGCACGGGGTATGCCTGAGCGGGACAGAAGAGCGCCAGGTTGGTGGACAGCATCCGCTCGATCCACGACCGCTTGATGTCATTCGACAGCAGAGTGGGAGCCTTGCCCCCAACGGGGTCTACAATAGGAATAGAGGAATGACATCTGCCAGAATGTTGGCTTTCGGCTTACCGAAAACTTGGTGCCGGGTATCCTTGGGCAGGACACAGCAACGATATCGACTGGCCTTCGAGCAGCTCGAGAGGTTTCTGAACCAGAGCTGGGGTTCGCGGTGCACTGCTCGAAATGGGTTCTATAAAAGGTAGTTCGGAACAAAGTCAGGGTTTATAGTAGTACTCAACCCCCAGCCTGATGTTGGTCTAGGGATGGGATATCAACCGACCTAAAACTGGGCGCCGGATAGCCCTGGGCCGGACAGAGGATGGCGGTGGGTTTGGTCGATTCCACCACATTCGGTTTGTAGGTCAGAGCGTTGATCTTGGGTGGACTGCTGCTAATGGGCTCTGGAAAAGGCGGAAGTACTTCTAGAATACCCGAAACCCAAGGAAATCCCCACTGCCGGAATGTTGTACCTGAAACTGGGTGCCGGATAGCCCTGGGCGGGGCACAAGATCGAGAGACTGCTGTGACCAGGCACAACCAGAGGACGCGACTGCAGCGGCGGCACTTTAGGAGCTGTGCTCGAGACGGGCTCTGGAAAGGTTTCAACTTCACTTAGAACTAACTCTAGTCTATGGACCTGGATCTCTGAGTACTGCCTGAACGAATTCGTCTTTACCTAAAGAACGGCACCGGATAGCCCTGGGCAGGACACAGCACAGCCATCGTGGAGGAACTGGTATATGTTTTCATATCGAATTTTGCCAGTGAAACCACTTTGGGCACTGTACTGCTAATGGGTTCTATTTGGAAGACAACAATGACCAGGTTAGAAGCAGAAAAGGGGGCGTTGAAGGACCTGCCTGAATGCTGGTACTGGATATCCCTGCGCCGGACACATTATGGCTACGATTCCCCCAAGACGAACATATTCGATATTCGTTTTTTGTATCAGCGCCACTCGGGGAGCAGCTCCACTAATGGGCTCTGGAAAGACAATTGATCAAGTGAGTAAAACCCCATCGAGAACGCAGACTGCCTGAATGCCTGGGGACTGTGCTGGGGAGGAATCACCTAAAATATGGCACCGGATAGGCCTGGGCAGGACAGAGTAAGGTAATGCTGCCCGAAAGAGGAATATCCACGTTCCTGGTCTTATCGCCGGAGGTGAGGCGGGGACCCACACTGCCAACGGGCTCTACAAAGTGGTTAAGGAGAAATGCGTTAAGGAGTCCGCTTAAACCGCTTAACCGATTGAAAACTGCCCAAAGCGTGGGATTACCTAAAGAACGGCACTGGATATGCCTGACCGGGACAGAAGAGCGTAAAAGTTGCAGCCAGGCGAGCTTCGGCATTCTTCAAACGATTCTCAACACTGATTTTGGGCGCCACACTGCCCACGGGCTCTGTACAGAAGATAGTGGACCGCTTGAGATATATATATTACCAGAAGAAACTGCCTGAATGGGTGGGGTTTTACCTAAAGAACGGCACTGGATACGCCTGAGCTGGACAAAAGAGGGTGAAAGTTTCGTTCGACTGCGCCCCCGCATCCTTGAGGCGTTCACCAACACTGATTTTGGGTCCTACACTGCCCACAGGCTCTGGAACGAATGAGAATTGGCTGTGTTTTTACCTGAATGCTGGCACAGGATACGATTGGGCTGGACAAAAGATGCTCAGGTCTCCGTGCAGACGCACCTCTGCATCCTTGCGACGCTCCCCCACACTAATCTTTGGCGGCACACTGCCCACGGGCTCTACAACGAACCAAGGAACCAACAAACCAAGTTCGAATGACAGATACCACAACAACTAACCCTTGAAAACTGCCAAAGTTGGTCGAGAACAATGGAAACTACCATCTGTCTAAGCCGCCTTCTTCCACTCAACTAACTTTTCCGAAGGAGGAAGGGGCATTTGCGTGACATGAATGGGTTAAATCGGGCGACAGCTCTGAGCCGATAGCTAATTGGTATTTTTGAAGTCAATGAGGCCTGTGGAGGGGGCTGGAAAGCTCTTAATTGGAAAACTTTGGACAAGCCTCCAGCTGCCGCTCACCTGTAGAAGGGCACAGGGTAGGCCTGGGCGGGACAGAAGATGGCTATTGTCCGTGAGAGCCTGATGCTGTCGTGGCTAAAGCCATCCTTCTTATTGACACGCGGTGCCACGCTGCCCACGGGCTCTGCAAAGATTCGAGACTTCGAAGATCAGCCCACTCGGAGGGGGAGGGACAACAACTGCCAGACAATTTGGAAGGGACTGGGATGGGTAGCTCGACAATGACCCACCTATAGAAGGGCACGGGAAAGGACTGGGCCGGACAGCGGAGAGCCACAATCCCATGGACAGCAATGCGATCGTGACTGAACTCGTCGTTCTTGTTGACCTTGGGGGCCACACTGCCCACGGGCTCTGCAAAGAGAATGGTATCCTACTGAGCGAAGCCTCAAGATGCAGATGGGAACCACCTCTAGGGCACTCGACTTTACCTATAGGCAGGCACTGGATACGACTGCGCTGGACACTGGATGGCTATGGTCAGGGCTATCTTGATCCGGTCATGATTGAACTCGTCCTTACGATTCACCCTGGGAGCCACAATTCCAATGGGTTCTAAAAGAAGGGTTGCACTTGGATCTCAGTCCTGCCTGAACGGCGATTTACCTATATGCTGGCATGGGATACGATTGTGCTGGACACAACAGGGCCAACGATCGATTCGAATTGGCCCAAAAAATGCCCACTTTATCTTTGATCTCTACTTTGGGCGCCACACTCCCCACGGGCTCTGCAACAGATAGAGAGAGAGAGAGAGATTTTACATATCTAAGTATCCCTGGGAAAACAGGCTGCCTGTTCTGGTGGATGGAACTCGAAACAACAATGGATTCACCTAAATGCTGGCTTTGGATAGCCCTGCGCCTTGCAGAACAAATTCAAAGACTGATTCGAGTGTCTGATGGTGAAATCCATCTTGTCATGCATGTCCACCATTGGGGCCACAGAGCCAATGGGTTCTGCAAAAGATTTTGGTGATTGGGGTAGAGGATGCACGGAAGGTCGAAAACTGCCTGAGAGTGGAGGCGGCCCTACCTATTGGAAGGCACGGGATACGACTGCGCTGGACAGAGTAGGCTCAGGGCCTGGCTCTGGGGCTTGTCCAGCCACGTGATGCGGTCCTTGACATCCACCTTGGGGGCTACACTGCCCACGGGCTCTGCAGAGAGCCCATTTCCATTCAGAGGTATTCTGAGGCAACTACCAATTGAAAACTGCCTGAGAGGGAGAAGGATCTCAGAGCTTGCCTCTGAGCAGGCACTGGGTAGGACTGGGCCGGACAGAGCAGGCTGAGGGAGCTGCCACGAGGCTTATCGACCCATTTGATGCGATCATTTGCATCCACCTTGGGAGCCACACTGCCCACGGGCTCTGCAAAGATTAAAAAAAAAGTCTCTTCTCTTAGTCCTAGACTTTGTCCTAAAGTCCTTAAGCTACCAAAATGTTGGGAGGGACACTCACCGAAAGGCAGGGACTGGGTAGGACTGCGCGGGACAAACAATGGCCAGGCTATGATCCAGTGCCACACGGGCATAGTTGATCTCATCTTTGATGTCCACCTTGGGGGCCACACTCCCGACGGGCTCTACAGAAAGGTAGAGGAGGGTTCGGTCTTTAGAAGGGAACAAAATTGAACCTAAATGTTGGGATTACCTAAATGCCGGCATGGGAAACGACTGGGCTGGGCATATGAGTGCCTTGGAGGCCCCCAAACGAGTCCTGGCAAACGTGAACTCATCGCGAGTGTCCACTTTGGGCGCCACAGAGCCCACGGGTTCTGGTTTTAGGAATGGAATTGGGAATATTATGACAGGTCAAATCATAACTGAATGTTGGTCAAGGGATTCGACTGGATTCGTTGGACTAACCTAACTATCGGCACAGGATAGGCCTGGCCAGGACATTGCATGGAGTAGTCCTCGGCCGATTTCACCTGCAGCACCTGGAACTTGTCGTGCAGACTCGTGATCTTGGGCGGAACAGATCCAATGGGTTCTGGGGGGAGACATACGTCATCTTGTGGGAGGTTCTACTTTTAAAAAGGAGGCCTTAAATGCTGGAATAGAGCAACACGACAATCACCTAACAATCGGCACGGGAAAGGCCTGGCCGGGGCACTGCATGGCAAAGTCTCCTCCCAATCGGACTTGCATTAACTGGAACTTGTCGTTGATGTTGTTGATCCTGGGCGGCACAGAGCCTATGGGTTCTGCAAGGGTAAAGGAGAGGGAGAGAGCCGCCTGAATGTGGAGAGCATTACCTATTGATGGGCACGGGAAAGGCCTGTCCGGGGCACTGCATGGCATACACCCCGCCAAGGGGCACTTCCATGGTACGTACCCTCTCGAGCAGATTCATTTTCGGGGGCACAGAGGCCACTGGCTCTAGGGAGAGCAATGATAGGATCAATGCTGGACAATCTAGCGACTACGAAAACTGCCCAAATGCTGGGATGATTGAGGAAAACCGACCTGTAGACGGGTATCGGATACGACTGGGCTGGACACTTGAGGCTCAGACTCTTGCCCACATATCCCCGGGCATTGGCCACCTCGTCGTCAATGCTGACTTTGGGCGGAACACTGCCAATGGGCTCTGGAAAGAGAACCGAACCCCCGAGGAAGGTAAGTCAAAGAAAGAGAGCTCCAATCAGAACTGCCTGAACTGGGGAAGGGGCACTAATAGAATAATCACATAGTGCACCCCGTAAATTGGAAAATTGTAAAGTCGCGCACCTGTGGGCGGGCATCGGATATGACTGGGCCGGGCAGAGCAGGGCCAGGCCGACTCCTTGGGCCATTTCGCGTGTCTGGAGCTTGTCCTGAATGTTTATTTTTGGCTTAACCGAGCCAACAGGCTCTGCAAACAAAGACACACAAGGAAGGATAGGATGCATTCCTCCGAAGAGAAACCGAAAACCCACCTGAAGACGGGCATAGGATACGACTGTGCCAGGCAGAGCATGGCATAGCCGCTCGACAGCTCCACGTCTAGGAACTGATGCTTGTTCTGGGCATTCACCTTGGGCCGGACACTGGCCACGGGCTCTAAAATTCACCAAAGGAGAGTTTCTTACTTGAATACTGGCATGGGGTACGACTGCACGGGACACTGAATGTTGAAACTGCTGCCGCTTTGGACCTGCATCATTCGGAAGCGCTCGAGAAAGTTCAGCTTGGGTGCCACACTGCCAACGGGCTCTGGAAAGGGGGTTTCGAAACGCTCAAGAGAGACTCTTCCTCCCGCAACAGAAATCAACAGAAAACTCCTGGCGAATGTTGGGCTGGGGTGGGGGTTTACCTATAGAGCGGCTGCGGATAGGCCTGGCCAGGACACAGGAGACTTAGGCTAAACGAACTTCTGACCTTCACATGCTTCAGATCATCGGCATTGGTGATCTTGGGACTGACACTGCCAATGGGCTCTGCAAGAGAGAAGAAGAGGGTGTCCCATGGGTGGGTTCTCTTTGAAAACTGCCTTACCTATAGAAGGGCTTTGGATAGCCCTGTGCCGGGCAGAGTAGACTCGAGTCTTGGCTGCTTTTCCCTTTTACATGATTGTAGTCTTCGCCTGAATTGATCTTGGGACTGACACTGCCCACGGGCTCTGGAAAACAGGAACCAGGGAAAGGGTAGCACTGCCTGAGTTGGGAATTATGGGATTACCTATAGACAGGCACGGGATAGGCCTGAGCTGGACACATAAGGGTGACACTCGCCTCTCGGGCAACCCTCACCGTACGCGAATCATCGCCGGAGGTTAACCTGGGACCAACGCTGCCAACGGGTTCTTGAAAAGGTAGTAGTATCTATGAGAAAGTGCTGGCTGCCCTGCCTGCTGTTGGGAGGGGGGACTGTACTTGTATTACCTAAAAAATGGCACTGGATAGGCCTGTGCCGGGCACAAGAGTGTGACGCTCCCCGTCATTGGGACACGAAGGAGTGTTATGTGCTCCTGATTCCCATTGCCGCTCAACTGGGGACTGACGCTGCCAACGGGCTCTAAATATTCGAAGATTGGAGTTAAATGGAGTCCTGGCTGGGATGCCTAGTGCCTCGAATGTTGGGTTTGGGGGGATTTACCTAAAGAAGGGAACCGGATAGGCCTGGGCGGGGCACATAAGCGTGGCACTGTGACCCGCTGAGACCTTGGGTATCCTTATGGCATCATCGCCAGCCGTCACCTTGGGGCTCACACTGCCAACAGGCTCTTGATTGGGGAAGGAATGCATGGAAAGTCAGTGGGATTGTCTATCTCTGGACTGCCCGGATGTTGGGTTCGGGGGATTTACCTAAAGAAGGGCACCGGATAGGCCTGGGCGGGGCAGAGCAGGGTCGCGCCTGCCGTCCGATGAACGCGGAGAATGCGCGACTCATCGCCGCTAGTGAGGCGAGGCCCCACACTGCCGACGGGCTCTGCGAAGAAGGATGCAGATCGTATAGGAATTCTCAGAGGATTCTCCAAGTGAATGGCACCTTCAGTTGGGATAGGAGGTCTTACCTAAACACTGGCACTGGATAGGACTGGGCTGGACAGAGCAGGGTCAGGGCATGTCCAGCGGCAAACTGAACCACCTTGATGTCGTTGCCCGAGAGAAGTCTGGGACCGACACTGGCGATCGGTTCTTCAACGAAAGAACATAACGAATATAGGGCTCATCAAATAGGGAAGGGATCTTTAACTGGAAACCGGCCAAAGTTGGGTGGGACGGGACGTGACATTCACCTAAAGAACGGAGCTGGATAGGCCTGGGCGGGACAGAGCAGGGTCTGATTGCTGCCAGCATCTCCCGTGAAGCTGCTGCTGGTCAGAGTATTGGGAAACTTGGGCGAAACCCTGCCAACTGGTTCTGTGAATGAATCGAGATCAGAATCAGAATTAAAAATCCAAGAAAATCGATAGATCGATAGATCAATAGAGCTGCAGCTGAAAGAGTGGCACTTACCTTGGGCGCAGTTTGAATGGAGAATACGAATTGAAGGTTGCCTTTTGGCAAGGACTTTGACTCGGGCTTAGACTGGGATTACTCTGGAGCGGACCAACCCTAGCACTAATCAAAACTGGGCTTTGTTTCAAGCCTCTTATCGCATCGTTGTCGAGTACCCTATCCCAACATTCAGGCAGTTTTCAATTTGGACTTAGGCTACGAGCAACAACAAGTCTTTGCCGAGGTCAAAACTGGACCAATTATCTTTTAACTTTTCAAATTATACATTTTTACATTCAAATGTTCAAAGAGAGAAAGAGAGAGAGAGAACTTTTTATGTGCAAAGAAAGAGATTTTAAGCGAAAAATCGTTTTGATTGCATTTCATTGGCTTCCAAGACTTGTTGTTTATTAAAAATTAATATCTAAAGAAATCACAGAGGATATAGTGCTATATAGTGTATACATATCATATACTCAGATTGTAGCTATGAAACGATAGACATTATATCCTCTTTAATTCCGAAACAGTACCAAGAAGAATCCGTGCTTACTTCTCGATTTCTTCTTGGCTTTAAGCTTAACAAATGTTTGGAATACTTTTTAGCTTTGGAAAGAATTTAGAAATAATCAAATCTGTGTTCAGTAAGCATTTAGCGCATTCCAAATAAATGTTGTACAAACAAACCTTAATTGACAGGATATTCAATTTCTGGTTTTGTTTTTGCAGGAAGTAATCTTTATGGAATATATTTGACAAAAATCTATTAAAAATCCACAAAGTGCAGACCGACTTTGGAATAATTACGTTAAATATTATTCTATAAAGTTTACTTGTGCGACACGAAAAACTTCAGTTATCATAGACATAGAACTTTGTAATTTGATAGTAATCGAATTCTTAATTTCGATTTCGATATCAGTTATTAGTTGTGAAAAGTTTTAATTTTGATTATTATCTATAAAACTTAACTTACTAATTTTAACTTTCAACTTTTATAATTAGAATTACAGTTCTAGAAATTAGAAATTTCATTTTTTTAATTCATATAAAATTGACTTTTTGAAGCTATCGATAAGTATCGATTTATCATTAATGGTCATTTTTACTTTCTGCGAGACAAAAATAAAGTTGTAGGACTGGATGAGTATGAAGATCACTTCCTCACACTTAGAATTTGCTATATACCGCAATAATTTGCAATAACTAAAAAACCGATTTGAACCGACCTTCCACAGGATTTTTGAAATCGTGTCGATAGAGTTGATTTTCCTGCAGATATAGCGACACGCACACTTGAAGTTGAAATCCTAGTACGGGGAAGTGATCTACTCTTCCAGACGCTAAGTTTGTCTCATTTTATTGATTACGGTTATCATATGAATGATAATTGAACATGATCGATTACAGATAACTGAAGCTTTTCACTCTTAAGCAAAGAAATTGAATAAAATTGGCGCACAGGAGCGACTTACCTGTGATGACCAGGCGACCCTTGGTGGCACTCAGTCGTGTCTCTCCAGTCAGACGATGCTTGGTGCGGCACTGGTAGCTCTTGTAGCCATCCTCGGGTCCCACTTCGCGGATATGCAGTTCTCCAGAGGGCAGTACCAGATATTTGCCATCTGATCGGGGTGGAATTCAGTGAGAGAGATAGAGATGGGTAGATGGAATGGAAATGTTAGTGGATGACTGTCAAAGAGACTGGCTAACGAAAGCAATCTACTTTTACAGCGGAAGAAACTCAATTAAGATGCTGGGAACTTAATTGAATTTATTCAACAAGAAAGCCACATGCATGCTTTATAAATATTCATTCCTCGTGTTTTTGCGTTACTTTAATTTGTTCTTAATTTGTGCAAGTCTTTTGGCATTGCTAATCGTTGTGTTCATGCAATGTGACTTTCATTTAGTTGGGGTCTCGGGACTGCAGGAGATTGGGTTTAAAAACTATACAAATTTAGAGCTCTCTTCAGTCCCGATTCCCATCAAAAGAATCGTATTCAAACTTTGATTCAAGCAAAAGAACTCGTTCAGAAGAATGAGAGACTGTGGTCAGACTTTGATTTATTATTTGTTTGTGTGTTTGAATAGAATTCCTTGCTTATAGACTAGCTGTACAATGCACCAAAGCAAAACAATGCCGGGAATTTGTGGCATAAACAAACCGAAAAGTACGGCTAAAAGATTGTTTCGAATTACGATTGAAATATTTATTTTCTTTTAATGGAAAAGCCACAAATTCCCCACACTGCAATCTTACAGTCTTAACTACTACGTGTAGCATGCACCACCACAAAAATGCCAATAACTTTATATGGTATGCGGATTGCACATGATGTTGTGTATATTTATACACAGATATGTATATAGGTGTATGTATATACTGATTTTTGTGTGAGAAATGTACAGATTGTTAGATCGATCAGTTTTAATATTTATTAGCATTTTTGTATGTATTTACACTGGACTACAAAACAACGCTACTTTCAACTACATGAAGGGGTTCGGGATGGGGCAAGTCGGGAGCGACTCATGGATATTGGCGGGAACGGGATCAAAATAAAACTTGGTGGGATGTGGGGGATAAACAGAAAAGAGAGTAAAGAAAGTTTAGAAAGAACAGAAAGAACGAAAGGCAGAAGTGAAAGCCTAGGCAGCGGGATATCCCAGAGATCTTGAGCACGAGCCGATTCGAATGGCAGGAGGGCGGAGTGGAGTGGAGTGTAGTGGAGAGGAGAGGAGGGAGAGCTAGCTCTCTTCTTAATCCGAGATTATCTGACAAACATTACCGCTGGCTGTGATATCTTCTTGCGGATATATATCACGCTCCTCGTCCTCCACCCACGAATCGACGACTATGAAATCGGCCACGAAGCTGGGTATGTGGCACTTCATTATGGCGCTATTGCCGCGCAGAATGGACTCGTCCATGACATTGACGGTGTAGGACTGTGGCACCACTGCAAAGTTCGGGGGAGAGTTGGATCGTTGAGGGTGGTATTCGTACGCATAGGATGGAAATCATAAGGAAGTAATGAGCGTGTGTGTGTGTGTGTGAAAGAAAACCCCTTCATGCGGCTCGAAAGACAACTCGCTGCGGCGCCTACCCGTGATGTTTTTGGTGTAGACCTCGCCCTCGGTATCGATCCAATCGGTAATCTCAATATGATCCGCCACAAAGGAGGGCGTCTGGCACTTGAATATGGCCGCATTGCCCTTGATCACGTACTCGTCGTACACCTGCGACTCAAAGAACTGTTTAACCACTGGAAAAAGCGATACGAAATCAGGGATTGAAATGGAATCAGGAACGGAGATTGGATCATGGAGAATGGAGAATGTTAAATGGAGAAGGAATGACTACTCTTAAGCCGAACAGAGGCGCGCAAAGGTTCTCCAATGGTTACCCGTAGAATCGGTTGGCAGGGGCCGCTGTATCTCGACACCCTCCTCATCGATCCAGCCTTCCACGTCGATGAAATCGGCCACAAACGAGGGCACCAGGCATTTGAGGGTGGCAGCGTTTCCGCGCAGCACAAACTCATCGATGACGCGGGTCTGGTAAAACTGATGGACAACTGAGAGGGAAATCAAGGGGAAAATCAAACTGAAATCGAAAGGAATTGAAAGGATCTTGTGGGCAAAAGGGGGGCTCTACACTCTAGAGCAATGATAGATATTGGTCCAAGTACCCGTCTCGTCTGCATTATTGGGATAGTAATTGCGACCCTCCGAGTCCAGCCAGTGATCGACAAACACAAAGTCCGCCACATACGAGGGTATCTCGCACTTCATCACCACCGAATTGCCCCTGATCACATACTCATTGTCAGCCTCCGATTCGTACGTTTGGATCACAACTAGGCCAAAGAAATAACATAAAAGATCAAGGTAAAGGATAATAGAATGGATGGGAGATTCACAGAGCTGGGAGCTCTGTACAGGAGGCCTTATACAGAAAGGGTTTTTATTGTTTTCGGATTGCACTTCGTACCATAGACGCTGGTGGCATTGTCGCGCCACAGTTCGATGCCACCATCGTCCACCCAGGCCTCGACCTGCACGAAGTCGGCCACAAAGGAGGGAATCTTGCATTTGACGACCGCCGCATTGCCCCTGATCACATACTCATTCTCTGCCTCGGTTATGTAGAACTGTGAAACGACTTCAAATCGAAAGAAACAATGCAAAATAATAAATAGGGGCTGGAAAATGAGGTGAGGAATGCTGAGGGATTCTAGAATAATCCTAAGTCTAAAAGTCTAGGGAGCACCAGATCGCACCATAGTTGTCCGAGAAGGACAAGACATTGCCCTCGTCATCGATCCAGGACTCCACGCGTACAAAATCAGCCACAAACGATGGTATGGAACACTTAAGAACAGCCGCATTGCCCCTTATGACATATTCGGTCATTATTTCGGCCTCATAGAACTGATTCACAACTGCAAAAAGTGTATCAAAATCATAAAAGAAAGTGTAAATTCTGGATAGGATAGAAATGTGGGAGTGGAAGAGTGCAAGGGTGGCAGTTGGAACCCCTTCAACTATTGCAGATTCCTTCTGTTTAGCAAGTAAATACCATAATTATCAGAGTGCCTTAGCTCGGTGCCCGCCTCATCGATCCACGACTCCACGCGCACAAAATCGGCCACAAACGATGGAATGGAACACTTGAGCACCGCCGCATTGCCCCGTATGACATATTCCATTAGAATGTCGGCGCCGTAGTACTGATTTACAACTGCGATTCGATAGAATTTACATGGAAATGAAATCAAAGCCAAATCATAGGCATAGGAGGAGGCATAGATGGGAGATCGGGATGGCATGGGGATATGGAATCCTTCTTAAAGCTACTCGTAACATCAACGTAGATCGGAGGAGGAGAGTTCTGAGGACTGTACCGAAATCCTCTTGCGGTGCGTACTCTGTGCCATCGCTGGCCACCCAGGCCTCCACGTGCAGGAAATCGGCCACGAAGCTGGGTATCGTGCACTTCAATACCGCCGTATTGCCTCTGATCACATATTCGGACACGACCTCGGCCTCGTAATACTGATTCACGACTGAGAGAGGATGGAGAATTAAATGAAATTTTAATGGAAATGAAAGGAATAATGGGGAGGGGAGTTGGAAGTGGAGAATCTTCTATGGTTTTAAAGTGTTTGTCGCCCAAGAATGCAATATGTCTAGTATGTACCAGCTCCCTGTTGTTCGCCGAGCGTGCCATACAGCTGGCCCTCCTCGTCCTGCCAGGATACGACCTGGACAAAGTCCGCCACAAACGATGGAATGGAACACTTCAACACCGCCGCATTGCCCCGTATGACATACTCGTTGTTGACCTCCGACTCGTAAAACTGTTGCACAACTGGAGGAGGTGCGTGGGAGGAAAGTTTACAGATTACAGAACATTTTATAATGAAAATACTAGAGAAAGACACTGCCAGAGCAGAGCCAGAGCCAGACACCTTGCGTGTAGCGAGGCGTGTGAAAATGTGCAGCCAGAGAGCCACATCAGTGAAGTGCATTTAATAGTCCCTAAAGCGCACTCAGTGGGAAAGTTTCTCCCGCCATCCATCCGCCGGCCAAAAAGGTTAATAATACGTAGTTCTGATAACATGGCTCATCGGCACGCAGGGGCACTCTTGCCACAGATACAAAAACAGATAAAGATAGAAAATGCAAACAATGTAAACTTAAAAGATGAATAAGGGAAATGGATGGGTAGTTTTCCAACTTTTTGTACACATAACCTCACTAAAGCTAGAGCTAAGGCTAGAGCCAAGATTCAATGCATAGACAAACCATATTCTTGGCCTGGCGAGAAGTCCTCGTTTTGGTCGGTGTGCCAGGACACAACGCTCACAAAATCAGCCACAAATGAGGGGATCTCGCATTTGAGAACCGCCGCATTGCCGCGTATTACGTAGGCCTTATTTACATCGGTGTCATAGTGTTGGGCAACGACTAAAACAACAGCACACAGAACCGACACATAAATAAACAACCGAAAAAATGTATTTATACAGAAATCCAAAAGAAAACTGAACGTGAAAGTGAAACTGAAAGCAAAACACAAAGGAAGGTCCAAGGAGCGAAGGCGAAGGAGTTTATTGCACTCTGTTTCCTAACCAGTGTTGATTAATTGAGTTACAGCTGGAGTTTGAGTAAATTGTAATTTGGGTGTATTTTTGTTTGTACAGTGTTACAGTCATTATTAGTGTTGGTTAACTGTACAGAAGCTCTGTACAGATGTGAGGTGGAGTGTTGTTTCTCTGAAGTGTTGTACAATAGTTAAAATAGTGCTGTTTTGCGACACACACACATAGAGAGAAGCGATCGATTTTTAACACACCATATTCAGTGTCGGGATAGAAATTCTCTTGCTGGTCGCTGTGCCAGGATATAACATTCACAAAATCGGCCACAAACGATGGTATATCACATTTCAAGATAGCGGAATTGCCGCGTATGACAAACGCCTTGTGTATATCCTCTTCGTAGTGTTGCGAAACGACTAAACATATACAAGAAATGAAAATAAAGTTGGATGTTCGGTATACATAATAAAAGGATGAGAGTGATGTGTGAAATGGAAATGGAAATGGTATGACAGGAACCAAATCATGCTTTTAGTAGACCAAAAACTATTCTATCGCTAGGGGAATAATCCCAATTCGTATCCCGCACCGTATTCTGTGCCGGGAAAGTAGCTCTCCTCCTCGTCGGCATGCCAGGACACCACCTCAACAAAATCGGCCACGAACGAGGGTATCAGGCACTTGATAACCGCCGCATTTCCCCTGATCACATGCTCCTTGTTCACATCCGCCTCGTAGTACTGGGCAACCACTGCATTGGACGAAAGGACGAAAGGAGTAGGTGCAATCACGATGAATAAGTGTATGCTCTCGGAGTCCCACGGTCTCAATCTAAGCCCTGGACGGACTTAACCTTGACAAAGTTTAGGCACCCTATTCCTGGAAGTGGTTTGGCTTGATTGCCTGTTATTTTTGTGGTTTTTCTTGGTTGGAAACTCATTAAATGAAAACCCCGAAACTATCATAATCACTCTTAAGCCGCCCGACAGGCCAAGTTAATTTCAATTAAGCAAAGTTTTCTGTGTGCCAGCCTTCACACTGGCTACTGGGCGAAGCCATATTTCATTCTGGCCAACAAGCACAGGGCTGGCTCTCTACACGGTTTTCCTCCGCTCCATGTCCGCTCTATTCACACATAACATAAGCATAAAATGATAAATTCCCCTGGTTAATAGCAAGCGAAAGCAAACGACAATAATGATGTCAGGCGAGAGAGGTCGCCAAGGGAGTTCCGTTCCGTCCGTTCAGGTGTGCTGGCTGGCTAATTGCCAGGGAACACGTCAGCCGATGGAGCGATGTGTAAGCGACGGCTATGCTCCTCTGCAGCATGATTCCAGCATAATTAGCTAAAATATAATCAAGTCTGGCCCATTTACGCCCAGCTCCATGGCAGCGGAAGTAGCCATAGAGCCAAGGGACGTGTCCGTCTGGCCCTATAACTCGATAAACCACCACTCGATCCCACACACACAGCCGGAGCTGTGGGTCGGCAAGTGACAATTGCATCACCAGGCGATGACTTGAAGAGAGGGAGCTGAGCTGTCAAATGGTAAGTACAGTTGCCAACAAAACACTTCGAGTGGCGGCTGCCTGACTGACAGAAAGACAGGAAGAGAGATGAAGCGAAACGGCAAACCGATTAAAGTGAAAATGCCAACTTGCATTAAATTCCAATGAGCATTGCGAAAACTCAGTAAAGAAAAGTATACGCGCGTGTGTGTGTGCGTGAAAATGAAAGCGCGTGGAAAATTCGTCTTTAATAGCCGATAACTGCAAACAGTGGAAGAAAAACATCCCAACGTCGAGAGGTGGCGGGAAGTCAAAGCGGAATGAAACGAAGGCCAACGTTGATCGATCATCGCATAGATGGGATTTAGCTGAAAATTTGAGTAGAAATGTTAAGCCGAGGGAAGTGCAAGTTTCAGAGTTGGGTTTTCTTGAAATAAATATCTAAAAATGTTACACTTTTAACTTTAACACCCAGAGAAAAAAGCGCAGATATTTTACACTTTAAGATTATATTTAATCAGATTGAAAATATAGATCTGCCAAGAAACTAAATTTTAATTTAAATATATGTACATATGTCATATTTAAATTAAATATATTTCGTAAAAATTTAATATATTTAAGTATGGGTCGAAATTTAAATACTTTTAACGACGTTTATCTTTAAATCAAACTGGATTCTATTTCCTTTCACCGAAGATTTATTTTTAACATTCGTGTGTTTATTTTTACCATGTCATTTTTCTCTGAGTGTATCTGTTATATTTTGTATAAATTTTCAGCCTCTGCCGGATCTCTTCCTCTGGAAATTAATCCCGACCAACATCCGACTGTTCCCCCCTTGCACTGCCCTCCGCTTAAGCAAGAATCCGCTCAACTTACCGGCTCGCACATGGACATCCCGCGATATAATGGATCCGAACTGATTGCGGGCCAGGCAGGCGTAGACCTGGGCGTGCACCTCCTGGCGGTAGTCCTCAGCACGGAAGGGCGGAAAGACCAGCTTGCCGTCGGATGAGATCTGGCGCAGACCGGGAACATCGCCCACGGCAGTGCCATCGCTGCGTATCCAGATAATCTCGGGCATGGGGTTGCCGCTGGCCTTGCACTCGATCTCGGCGCCGGTGGAGTTGGAGAAGTCAATGCGGTTGGTGGGCTCTTTGAGGAAGACGGGTCCCTTCTGGTCGGCATCTGGTGGATTGGCAGCCAAAGTCTGACTGCCACAAGCTGTGGTGAGTAAAGAGAGAGAGAAACAACACAAATTAGTTGGAGTCACTAGAAATACAAGCAGAATAGTAGCATAGCATAGAACTTCCGCAACGGAAGTGCATTGAAGGGAGAAGCACGAGTACTCTCTGCAGGGTCTCTCTGTATTCATAGCCATGTCCATGTCAACAGTTTGTCTATTGTTTCCACCTTTGCTGTTTGACAATTGAGTGCCACGGATCAGCGACTCCCCCGAGCGGGAACCGAGTGCGGACAACAAAAGCTCTTTTATTTTATTTTTTACTTTTACAGGCCAGAAACAACTTGTGCTGGCAGACAAAAGGCCCAGGCAGGCACCAGGCGAAAATCGTTCGTTGACACTTTTTCAGACCACTCTCTGCCCCTTCTCTGGTGTCCCTGCTGTTCCTGCTGTCACTGTTGCACTGCCAACCGATTTCATATTCAATTTTATGCACTGCCGTGTCCCGCATCTGTCTATCCTTTGTGCCAGTCCCCCATTCCCCCCATTTCCCCATTCAAAATTTCGATGCAATTCTTGAGGCGTGAGTCTGAAATTTGTCGGCTCTAGAGATATTTCAGGCTTATGAAAACTATTCACCAAAGAGAATTTGTTGCCGGCATGGTCTTACAGCAAAAGACATCCCTTCCCAGCTTAATGGGCAATCATTCGAACAGTACTGTCCGAAGAAGATTAAATATTCCTCTAATTCCACAAATTCCAGCTATTGGATCCCGCCCCCATTCCTGGCCCATGAAATTTTATAGACTGAAATGAAAACTAATCAATTCGTTGACTTTTTCGGGCGGTGCGTGTTCCATGGCGCACGTATTAAAAATTCCAACTAATTTCGCTTCGAGGCGTTCGTTGCGTTGAGTTGTCGTTTACCAAATTAATTGGTCAATTTGTGGTTTGGAGGATGGCAGGAAGTGTAATTTAAATTTCATAAAATCTCCTTTCAAACATTTAATACGGAACATGAATAGTGTCCCAGCTCCAAGGTCAGTTTTTCTTGAACTCTAAGACCCACTGTACTTTAAATGGCTCTGCATACACACGCACACATACAGTCTCACATTAGATTCAACATGTGCTTGCCATACGGGAGCGAGGGAGCGAGCAGGCGTGCAAAAAGATGTGCGCGAAAGGAAGGAGAGAACGAATGTGCGGAAACAGTAAAACACGCAATTCAAAATAATATTTTGCAGCTGTTCTTACAACCATATCGACAGATCGATCGACAGAGGGGGAGATAAGCAGAGGAGAAGAAGGATTTAGGGAGGGGGGAAGTGAAGATTCACCATCCGTTATCGCTCCTTCTTTCTTCATCTTGGTTTCCATTCCAATTTGAACGAAATTGCATTCCCTTTCACTCTCCACCACCGTAAAGTCGTAATATATTTATTTGCTGTTTGCTCTTTCTGGAATATATTTATTGCCTTTTCTTCTCTTCTTGGCTTTGCTTCGTCTCTGCTTCCACTTGTTGAAGAGTTCGTGCTGTCCAATTGGTCTTTCATTTCAACCAGATTTTCGGATTGCACCTGCCTCTTCTGTTTATTCTGCGTTTCCTTTTGTCTTCTGCAGCTTCCCCCCAGTGCCATAGCAGCAGGTGCTTTCTGTTATGCTTTTTTATGTCAAAAGTTTGAAGCTTTCCTAAAACCAACAACAAAATTCGCAGAACGAAACCGGTTCAAGAGGCAAGCAAGTAGCCGGCATTTAACAGTGAACAAAGCTAAATGAAGCAAAAGGCAAAAGCAAAGCAAAACTTGGAGACAGAAAAGCTCTCCGCTCTGCAGTGCTCTGCTCTGCGCGGCTTAGTGAAGCACTCAAAACTATGTTTTCTGAATTTATCGCGTAATTTTTCACTTATGCAGGCAATTTGCACAAGACGATGATGATGATGATTGTTGATTCCAACTAAGGTCACATTATGCACTTCATAAAAAAAGCCTGCGGATCTGGGAGTGACTCAGCCTCAAGTCGGGTGGCTCTCAAATGTTTAACACTTGTCTTGGGGCAACACACAGTAGCCAGAACGAGGAGCAAATAAAAAAACTGGCAAAGCCACAGAAGAGTGAGAGAGAGCAGTAGAATAAGCTTTGTCAGGGGAATGACTAATACTAGAAACAAAAACAAAAGGGGGACGAAGAAATGAAGTAACACGCGATTCCAGAGGTGTCAAATTACGACGTCGAAAGCTCAAGAAAAGTAAACAAATATTGAACTTGGAATTGGAAATAATGCGACACGACACCCACCGAAGGGGTTTACGGTTCACGATCGAACACAATGTTCCATCTCTTCTCTCGACCTGCTTCCGTTCCATTAATTAACCCATTTCCAGACGTATGTATTTGTATTACAAACCCTTAGCACCTCATGAAGAGGGAAATTGGAAATTAATAACTTCCGTCCAAACAAAAACAAAGGGAATAAGAGTTCAACAGGCATACACACGAATGATAGGGCCCCACCCAACAGAACGCCTCCCATCACGCACTCTTGTCATCGAGGTCGGAATATAAACACACGCACGACGACGACAACCGACCATATGGGGATGTCCAGCCAATCCCCAAACAATCCCATTCCATATACATAGTATAGTAGGAAGAGAACATTTTGGTGTGTGGTATTGCATGCAATGAATCTCAACCATTTCGATAGAATTTCATTCCAGTGGAAGAAACATCTGCCCTGAGGCTCAGAAAGAAACCAGTCCGACAGCTGTTCGAGAGAGCCGGCGGACGGAGAACAGGTATCTCAATGTCAGCGGTACGGTACCCACACTCATTCATGCGAATCGTGTGGCGTTTACCCACACACAGTTAAGTCCACGAAATATGGCCAATTACTGGGCTAAATGAAAAAGCAAGTTAGAATGTTATTGTCGATATATGGACAATTCGAGACCCGCTACATACCCCGAAACGTCCTCTCAAATTGTGTGCAATACCTATCCGTTGAGAATGATTTTCTGTTGATCGACTGAGCGTTGTAAATACCACATAGCTATATCTCGCTCCTCTATGCCAACCACAAGCACCGGGTGCAACGAATAATTAGGTAATGCGTGTCACAGATAATTGCAGTCGCCCTGCCCACGCACTCCGCTAACAGTCCAGACACTCAATTACCGCAAGCTGCAAGTCGGTGGAGCGGCAGACACCACGCAACGCAACCTGTCCACCTCTGCGTGGACACAAGATGTCAGAGGGAGCTGCCACGTTGCTGACAGAAGGTGACAACAACAGGCAGAACAACCGCAACAAACCGCAGCCAGAGACAACACGTGAGGGAGAAAGAGAGATACATAGAAAGGCAGGAGACAAAAGTGGAGCAGCACGGACCACGTGGGGTTCAGAGGGGGGAGTAGCTGCTGACGCGATGGTGATGATGATTTGACAGACAGTGGGAGACACTCTGCAAATACGACAACAGAATGTAGAGCAGCGAGAGATAAAGCATATTCTAAGCTTTCCATTCCACTGTGCCTGACCTGCTCTTTCCAGAGCCTCACGGAGAGAGAGGCGTGGACTCAAATGTGGGTGACAGGAGGAGAAAAAACGAGAGACTTGAGGGTGGATTTGTTGTATAATTGAAAGCGTTGTACAACGACAGTGAGGCTGGAAAAAGCAGAGGAAGGAGGAAGAAGAAGAGCGAAAGACGGGCGAGCACACAGCGACAACACGTGCACAATCTCCGTCATGCAAGGAAATGCATTTGTGAGAGAGCGATCCAAGGAGCCCGGGCCACGACAGCGACAGTGGGAGACAAAGAAAAAGGAGAAGACACAAGAAGGAAGAACGAGGATGAGGAAGATCAAAACAAGCATACGCGCTTTGCATATTAAATCGAGTTGACGTCGTCACCGCCACCGCCAGCGTCGCCGTCGCCGGCGCATTATTTAAGCCAGACGTAAAAAATACTTGTTTAAAAAATACCTACATACTCGTATATGTAAGTATTGTACATTTACTCGTAGTTCCACAATGGAACTTTGAGTTGTTGTTTTTGTTGTAGCCTGCAGATTGTGGAGATGCAAATGATACAAGCACGATGGACAAGTTGGCAGCCCCCGAAAAAAACGAAACGTGACTCAGGCAGGAAAAAAAAGCATAAAGGTACTGATGGGGAGGGAGATGGTGTGGAGAGAAGAGGAGTGCAGAGGAGACAACGTGCCTGGACGTACACATCCATACCTTGTCGTAGATGATGTCTCTGCCTGATAAGTGTCGCCTCATTCTGGAATTGGGGTTCGGTTCGAGTTCGGCTCGAGGAATGGAGGAGAAACGACAAGAATTGGTAGATGGGTGAGGCAATAATCAACATATTTTACAAATTATTATGATGGCTTGATTCCATTTTTAGGGGGCGCCAAAACGATGTTAATCATTTGCCCCTCTTCCCGCCAACTCTTCCACCAAATCGGACTGATTTTCGAGATTTCTCTGTCTTGTATTTGAAAGATAAAAGAGTTTTCAATTTAACGGCACATATATTTTCATTAAAATGTGGATATATGTATTTATAAATGAGCCACAGCAAAAATTAACCTGAAATCACAACAATTTGAAGAAAAGGTCAAGCTCTGGCACTTAATATCTAGCACGAAACGGTAGAAACAACCGTGCCACAAAAACCATCCATCCATCCATCCATCCCTTGCCCGTCGCATTGCGAGCATCAAGGGAGTCCCTTGCGTTCCAGGGACTCTGGCTGGGAGTGAAATGCGGCAACAGCGCCCTGCTCGCTCCAAATCCGTTTTCCGAGCGCAGGCAGAGACATTAGTAAGTATAATAATATTTTTACACCCAGAGTGATGAGGGACACACAGAGGCAAAGAGAGAGGCAGAGAGGGCAGCAGAGAGGAGATTCGTGCCCGTCGACAGCGTGCTTTTAGTTATTACAGTATAGGGTATAGGGTGTACTCTCACTCCTTCTCTCTGGCTGTCTTTTAAATCAAAAAGTGCATAACCCCAAGATGTGGAGCAAATCTTTAGTGAACAAAACATTTTTCATTTTTCACAAGTTTTCCTTCTCTGCTCTAAGGAGGGTGACGAAAACGAGGCAGAGACAAAGAGAGAGAGAGAGAGTGAGAGAGAGGTGGCAGAGAGAGTGAGGAGTGATTGCGAAGGGTTCACGGAGGGTGGAAAGCAACGTTGCCGTTATTTCGAGTCCATGAAAATGAGTGTGTTTTAGCTACTAAATGTTGCACCCACTTAAGTTTCTTTTCACCAAAAAAAATCCCACAAGTTTAGAGACTTGCAGCCAGCTCGTAAAATATTTTGAGTTAACATAATACTTTCTATATACATATATGTTCACAGATATTTCCGAGTTCTGTTTCTTCCATAAGCACTTAATGAGCCACCGAATGCATGACAAATGCTTTTAGTGGTGCCTCTTGGGGCTGTCATGTCTTTCGTGTGGATTTGTAAAGAACTTAGAGAAAAAGAGAGCGCAGCGCTCGATTCTTTTGAAGTAGATTACAGCGTTTCTTTTCGAGAGCTGCTGCATGCCACGACACTGGTATGTTGCCAATTTTCAGCTTCATTATATGGCAATTATTTACACAATTATCCAATCCAGACGCACAGCATAGGCCATAGAAGTTGACAAACAACTTTTGAACTTGCGAGTATTGTAAATTGTAAATGGGAAATGGAAAAGTAGGCTGCAGTGGCTCATAAAATAGAAAATTGCGACTGCATGATGACGTCAGGGGAGTATTCTACGTCTATCCCTGGATCTGAAGAGGCATTCGTGTACAACTAATAATAATACGCTCAGAGAGAGCCCATTAGATGGAGGGGAGCAAAATTCTATTGAACCATCCACAGCTGCGGCTTTTCTTGTGCCTGTCTGGCCCCCTCCTTCAGGTCTGTCTGTGTTGCTGCGTGTGTGATGTGCCTCAATCGTCGAGGTATCATAACACATGGGAGCAGGAGGAGCAGAAGATGTAGAAGGAGGAGGCAGAGTGGGGCTAGAAAGTGTCCAGAGGGGGGACGACTGGGGCACATCAATCATTTGTAATTATACGCATGCCTCTTCTCCATTCCATCATCTGATTTCGGCTCCTTTCTTCCAGTCCCCTTCTCTTCGAAACGGAAATAGTCTTCTCCCTGGAATGGGGATGGGGTCTGGTTCAGTGATCTCTCCCCAGTGATCTCTGTCATGTTTACGAGTGCTCTTCCATTTCTTAATCTCTGAAGGAGAGATGCCAACGATAACATGGAGCGTGAAGTGACCCAGTTGATAAGTGGCATGGCCTACCCTCTAAGAGATCTCTGCTCTTATCAGTGCGGCATGCAGTCCAATCCAAAGATGCAGCTGAGCAGTGGAATCTTTCGTAGCAGCCGAGGCAGAACCAAAAGCTTTTTGCTGGCAATAGAGCTTTTACTATCACAAAAATCCATCAGTCCCATCTATTCCATTGGATTCGCACACACGGACTTCAATTGTTTGTTTCCTGTCTATCTTTTCTATTGTACCCTTCAAGAGGGCCTTTTTTCTTGCCCAGAGACTTTATGCGCGGTGGAGCCCGTCCTTACTCCCAATTTCAGCCATGAATTGAAAAAACAACATACATTGCGTGTGCATAACGCGACTCACTGATGTTGTTAGGGGCCTTTTCTTGTTGTTGTTGTTACCATCTTACACAATATATATCGTATGTACCATATAGCAGACTTTATCTTATTTCTGCCATGGTTATGACCTGCAAGGGTATCCATTCGTCGAACTTTCTTTCTTTCTGCTTTGATCTCCATTACAATGTTTCCCGTGTGTGTGTATGTTCGCGCTGCTTGAATTTCAATTGAATTGAATGAAATCGCAAATTAAATGCGTTGGAACTGCCACTGCAGCAGCAGACGACAGACGGCACAAAAACAAAGGCACAAACATAACATTTCAGCTTTCCCAAACAATAATAAATCTTATTTAATGTTTAGGTCTTTACAGGAATTACACACGAGTGTACGCGTATTTATTAGAGTATACTATGCCGGAACATACACACTCGTACTCGAACTCGTACTCGTACTCATTCAATAAATAAATACCCATGGACATGCTCGCATCATAATAATTCATACAATAATAATAATAAAAGCAATAAAAATTGGCGCAAAATTGTTTTTAATCAATTTCAATTGAATGATGACCCGGCACAATCAAGACGTAAGACCAGGCCGGCGGAGGCCTCAAAAGCTTTTGTATCTTACAGATATCTCGTTGCCTGAGCTTTTGCATAATTTCCATAAAATCGTTCTTCATTATGTAGCGTATAATTTATAAGTACTGAATCTCCTGCAATCAAGGCTTCACTTTGGGCCGAAAGCTCTCTTTACCTCCATTTCAATTTCTGTTGCCTTGCTTTGGTATTCCGAACGCATCCCAAGTCACGCAATGAACGTTAAAAAATATCTGTATCTTTATGTATTTTTTTTTTTTTACTTAAACACCACAAGACATAAAGTCATTTATTTAATTTATAAATTTAAGGTATTTTATTTGCCTTATTTTGAGCATTGATTTGTTGATATTTTAGCATAAAATCACGCATACGTCACGTGGTTCGATGTAAATGCTGAGTGCTTTACATTTGATGCAAATTTGAAATGATTTCATGAATATGGAATTTATAATTCATTTATGGGGGCGCCTACGGCATTGCTCAAAGTGCTCTCTGTATAAGGCACAAGCCCCTAAATTGGTGCCTCTGATAACCCTTATATGTATGTATGTAAGGCCTTCTCATTTGGTTTCCATACAAAAAATGGGGTAAACATAGAACTGAACAATGAAAACCTTTGAGGAAATACCAAAAGGAATGAATAATTTCAAAGTGATCGGTTACTCATATTTATGTTATTGTATTTATTCTTCTTTAATCTCTAATTGTTCATACAAAGGGCAGACTTGTTCCGAAGAACGAATGGTATTTTCAGTTGAAGATAAATCCATTCAGAGGAGGGTTATGTTATATCTGGGATAATTGTGGTTTCCATGGGTAACGGCACACATCTTGCCTTGCACCCAGCCTCATGACTGGCCCACTCATGGCCCCCTCCCCCCTTTACCTTCTACCTACCGCCCCGTGGTTCCGTCGCAGCATGATTTCCCGGGCATGAATGAGGCAATGAACCGCTGTAGTTTATCTGCCCGCCGGCACAAACCACATGCACAAGATACAATCCACAGAGAGAAGCGGGTAAATACTGCATGTGTCCCAAAGGGCCGCTCCAATGGAGACGAAATGGAAAAGACTATGTAAATGTTAAGTAAACGTAATTAAAAATTCATGAAAATGCTCGGGAAAATCCACAAGCAGCAACAACAAAGCAGGGAATGTGTCAACAGCGATAACAGAATGCAGAATGAAACCGAAACTGAAACCAAAGCGAGTAAAAGCCAAGAATTTCCCGAGAAAACAAGCCGACAATTTAAACAAAATAAAAGCCCTAGATACTAGATACTAGATTCATTAGAGGAATGCCAGTCGCTCCAATAGCTGTAGCTTTTTTATTATGGGAGAGCGGATACACAGTGCCATTTGTCTCCGTTTCTATTATTTTTAGAATGGTATCTGAAATATGTACGCGCTGCATCGATACCAGATTTATTAAATCAATCCCTTCTCTGCCACAAAGCAACAAAGAAATGAGCACAGCCTCTACAGTTTCCGGATTCCAGCTAGATTCATACGAGTATATGCCAGTGTACAGATTTATTTATCCATTTTTTCCATTTATCGAAATGGAAAATGAGTCCACAAGCAAAACGAAGAAAGAAGGAGGCATTACTCACCGATGAGGGCAACAGCTGCGTACAGCATTAGCCATTTGAGCCGTTCGTTGGGCATGTCCATAGTATTGGCCATATTTCCGCTCAGCGAGTGGTCTCCTTCCCTGTGTGGTGGACGCGTATCGGACTGATCTGAAAGTTACAAAAAAATAGTAAAGATTTCATTGGTTTGTCGGAAATATTTCATATTAACTAAATTCTTGATACTAAATTATTGATTTTATTTTCATTCAGGCCCGAGCCCGCTCGTTCGTTGCCAATGAAATGCAAGTAATTTGATTAGGGGAACGGCCATCCCCCAAGGCAGAGTCCAGTCCACCCACCTGAATGCACCTCAGTCCCCAAAAGGGGTAGAAATATATGTACGTGTATAGGTGCTCAGAGGGTTAAATTATAGCACGCACTGCAGGGGAAAACTGAGTCATGCCCTTGTGAGATACATATGTATATACCCTTCAATGGTACACGTATCTATGGATATGCGGTCGGCTCCAGTGGCTACCTCAAGTATTTACAAAGCCATACAAAAGCGATTAGCAAATGGAATCGAAACGCATTGGAAATAGAGGCATGCGACAGAAGACAGCGATGTGGATGTGGGGACGCGGCAACGTCATTAATTAAACCTCAAATGGCTAAACACTCCAACGACGATCGCATCGGGAGGCGCGAACTTCATATTTGTGCCTTCTGCTAGCCATAAAATGCCACGCGTCTCTCCCCCCCGTATTCGAATGCGCATTCGTATCCGTATATACTTTATGACAGGCAGGAAGTCACGATTCCACATTTCTTGCTGTTGTTTTGTCTACCCCGCGCTGTCTGGTGCCCTGCCTGGGATAGAAGCGAGCTCCTCCACTCATTTTAATCCAAGAGATAGCCACAGATAGATGGACAGATATACACATATGTATCTACACAGTAGAAATAGATTCCAGAGCAATTTGCTCGGCTTTTTAGCGCTTAATTAACGCTTAAGTGGATTCCCTCATTCGCTCAGCTCATTCCAGAATGCCAGAATTCCAGCATTTGTGCGGATAGGCAGTCAATGAATTAAGATTCTTATTTTACTTTCAATTGAAGACGTATCTGGCAGATAAACACGCGTGCACATACACACACACATGCCGTTCCTCTGTGTGCTCTGAGGGTTGCGCAGGCGTACTAGACCCAACCACTCCGTACGTGGCCGGCTCGAGGGATGCTCAGCAAATGTTAGCTTTTCAATTGATTTAATGAACTTCTGCAGTACGAGGATTCTTTGTAGAGAGGGCAGAGGGGTTGAGCAGCTGCTCGTTGAACTTTAGGGGGTGTTCGGGATGCTATCAGAGGGTGTCGATCTGGCTTCTAATATGCAAAGCAGAGTTCTTCATGGTTGAGAACACGCCACAAAGCCACAGAGTTACATATACGACCGTAGAAGCCCCGACAGAGTACGAATTCCCCATAAGCGAACGGATGTGCCTAAAGATTGTTTCAGTTCCCAGACGACGCAGTGTAGGCATTATTCGAATGACTCATTCCATTCCTCTCTGGGATAGCTTTTTCCTGCGAGAGACGCTCCCATCTCGCAATTTAGAAAACATCTGGTAATCAGTCAACAGTCGCAACCATCTACAATATATAAGCCATACATACATGCAATACATACAACATACATATGTATATAGAAGCACGAGTATATAGCCAGTCAACCCCTCTTTCTCTGAGCAGATCCGTTTGGGTAATCGCGTGGTAAAATCAACGAATCACAAGCATACTCGTATATGTACTCGTGTTTTTTACATTACTCATTCGTACATTTTATTTTGCTCGTCTGCCTGAATTTGCAACTAAAATTGGGGTGACGAGCCAATAAATGGATCCGGGGGTATGCGGATGGGGCGTATGGATGTGGGGCCACTGTCTGGCAAAGTGCAGTGGCCCAATGCAGGGTCGCACAGACAGCAGAGGACTGGACTGACTGTCGATTGTCCAGTTTCCAGTTTCCGACTCGCCCAGTTCCCAGATACCATACCACAGAATCCCAGTGGCTGTGCCACAAGCTCACGCCGTGACCCATTCGCGGCTGCGAGGGCTTTCCGCAATGCGCCCCCCAATTGAGAGTCAAGTGCCACAGAGGCAAGAACAAAAGGAATACGAGAGTATTTATTTGGTGCCTCATCGCCTTTTTGTTCGCTTTAACCTTTTGTGTCGTGGGTTCCGTTCTGAAGAGCTGAAGGCCAAAATCAATATTTGGCATCGGAGTCGATCCGTGGGTTGCCACCAGATGAGTTTGAGTGAAAGCCAGCCATCGTATACGACCAGGGTCCTATCTGGAATCTGCATCACATGTGGACAGCGGCAGCCCGCCCAAACAGAAGGCGAGCGCCGCCTAGCAACAGGATGCCGAGACGACAACAGAAAAATTAAAAAAAAAAAAAGAATCACCGAATCCTTCAGTGCCCTAAGTTTGGAAAACTGTGCACTATCCTTGATATGATGCACAGTTCTGAAAATGGAGATGTATCAATGAAAAAAAAAGGGTAAGAGCCCTTCATAAGCCATCCATAATGAGAGATACTCTTCATCTGGAAGGGTATAAAGTCGGGAAAAACTGAAAAAGAAGCAAAAGGAAATGGCAGACAGCGAAGGAAGAAGGTGGAGAGGAGCAGAGGAGAGCAGAACGAAGAAGGCGGCGCAACACTTGCGAAATCAAATAACGGAAACTACAGGCGCGGAGGCAGCAGCAGCCGCAGCTGCATGGGATTTCAGAGCTGCCTGGCCTAAGCAGGGGTTGCTCTCACACAGATGCAGATACACACATACACACACAGATATGCGGCAGATATGTATGCCAGATGGGAAACTGCGAAGGATCTTAAAAGATGCTCGAAATGTAAAGTGCTCTGTGGAGTGGACGAAAAACTACCTGCCAGAGGGATAGGATAGAGAGGACAAAGGACCCCAAGCAGCAGGCAGCAGGTTGCAAACACAACAGCCAGCCGCAGAGTTGCTTTTGGGAGAGGCAAAGAGCGCATGCGCAGAAAAAAAAATTCGCTGAAAAATTCACTCAGGCGAATAGATTTTCTCTAGAAGGGAATTTCTAAATGAAAATGTATTCGAAATGTTCCGAATTCGCATGAATATTGACCAGAGTTTGACGAATTTTGTAATTTCAGTCGGTTCCTTGGGGCTAGGGCTTTGCTACATCCACTCCCAAATGGTTTTGGCACACCCTTTTGGCCAGGTTCTATGAGTGTGTGTACGTGTGTGTGCGTTTGAGCACAAAGTAACAATTTTTTTGCATTCGTAGCAGCGGGAAAACTATTCTATCTTCAGGGAAAAATCAATAGGAAGCTGGGAATAAAATCAAACAAATTTGACATAAAACTTCATTTCCTTTGCTATTCCTATGCCTTGGGGCAGACAACCGTTATTGGGTGGGCGTGGGCAGGAAATACACCCACACACACACACACACTCTCTGTCAGAATATACATACACACGCAGTCACACAAAGAAGAAGTTGCCAGACAGCGGTGAAAATTGCATACTTTTCTTACCGTTTATTGTTGAAATTGTTGTAGAATTGATTGTTTATTCACACACACACACAACACAGTGAGAGTGGTGCAGCAAAATTGGTAACAGGGTGCCACTAATCCACGGGGGTGGCGACTCTGTCCAAGATCTGCCTCACACACACACACACACACAAAAAACAGACAACAGAGACGCCTGCTGCTCCTGCTGCTGCTGCTACTGCACTTGATTTGCTCTGCTCTTTTTATTGTTAATTAATTGGCGGATTGGTCGATTGATCGCTTTTGCATACTATTATTCACTCTTTTTGCGCAGAAGAAGAATCTGCACGCATACCAAAGTACACACACACACGCGGGCGTCTAAAGCACACGGAACCACCACCGATTGGACCGGTTTGCGGGGGTGTGAGTGGGCGCACGTATAAACCGTAGCCAAAACAACGTACACGCATACACAGAAATACAGACACACGCTCGCGCAAAAACTCCGACAAAACGTTACTCCCCGGTCGACCGTTCGTTCGAGTTCACGTTCCACAAAAGACTGTGGCATCATGCTAGCCGGCCATTTCTCGACGCCGCTGTGTGGATGGTGTGGATGTTGTGGATGTCATCTTCACAGCTGTTTGGAAGGGGGCATTGTTATGGGAAATTTTTGGGACATTTTCTGTTACCCCTCGCCAAAACTCCCCCTATAAAGTGCCAATTCCAACAGCTGTGGTATTTTTGATGACGCTGGTCATACTGCTTTCTTTTAACGTAATAATCGTATCATTCGAATGGATTCGAATGGAACTAGCCAGCCCGTGGTTTCACATCGAAATTAATTTTAGAGTTCGATTACGTAAAATGAAATTAAAAAAAAATAGTCCCGCTACTTGGAGATGACAAATTTGGCGTGGGTAAAAAATAAGATAAAACTAATTTAAATAATTTTAGATTTTAATTAATTTTGCATGTTGATGTCGCTCCCGATGACCTTCTCTGTGCCAGATCTTCTCCGGTCAGATAGAAATAACGGCAGCGTCACATCGTTTCAAGCTAACATATGGGAAAAGCTGTAGATATAATGAACGAAAAAGAAAAATGATTGATTAGGACGCTAGAAAATATTTTTTAGTATTAGTATTAAAATAAATAATAATAATATATATGTAAATAAATAATAATAATAATAAGTCGTTATAGTTATTATACATAGTTTATTATCCTATATATTATATTATTATTATTTTTATCATTATATATATATCCATCAATATCAGTACATTACATCCATCCACATATGTATTTGTTTGTATTTATTTCCCGCTATTGGCTTTAGAGATTTGGGAGACGATCTTTCGGATACGTTCTCATCCATAAAAAATAATTACCACTGATAACACTTGAAAGGTTCAATTTATATTATATTTATTTAATGATTTCGTAAGTCGGTTTTTCGGTGGATGTTCCCTCGGCGGCTATGATCAGGATGGCGTTTGTCCTGTTGGAGTGGTCCAGATCTATTGCGTGCTTCCTGGTTGTGACTTGAGAGTGGGTCGGGGACCGGGACCGCGCTCAAGTATTTTAAGAACCTTAGTTGGTTCGGCAACATACCTCGTTGTGTGGATAATGATAAACTGCTGGAGTTGATTCGTAAACCTACCATAGAAGTCACTTTCGATAGTTTTGTAGCAACCGGAGTGTAGTTTCGTGACACCAAGCTTTTCGTTTCATAGAAGTCACCTTTAAAAGTTTCCCGTCCGTACAGTTTTAAGAGTTTCATAGCATGCAGATTACATGTAGTTTTGAAAGCAACCACTCTTGGTCGTTTCATACCAGTGGGCATTGATAGTTTCGTTGCAGGCAGCTTATAATTTCATTACACCCACCTTCAATAGTTTCTCATTAGGCATCTTTTAAAATTGGGGCGTCTGTTGTATTAATTAATATTTATTTAATTCTTATCCATACGGTTATCCAGGTGGATAGAGACGATAAGTACTTTAATCTCAATGTAAGAATGAGTATGTTTACAGAAATCGAAATATTTCCATTAAAACAAAACAAAACACAATTAAACACAACCAAAAAGGTACGATTTTCTTACAGATTTAAATAGATATTATCGTAGGGACACCTTATTTGTATTAGTTCTTAGTATTATCATATAGGATAGTAAATGGTACAGGCTAAATGCTTGGGATTCACACTTGGGTTTAGTATTTCGGGTTCCAACAAAAGTCAATCAGTGTTGGGGGAAGACACAAAAGTGCTTAAACGTAGACTTAAACATAATAAAATCATAAGCTGGGTCAAAATCAATTAAATGAGTAATAAAAATAGCATTGCTTCGCCTATGTACAGGAAATTCAAAACGAGGTGGTTCTTAGTTCAACAATTTGAGTCAGATTTGCTGTCTGCTGTCTACCGGTCTCCTCCTGGTGGTTTGTCTTGCGAGTATTTTAAGTAGCAGATCGAGTCTTTTCAGTTCTAGATCTAGATCTTTTGAGGATAGCTAGCTATATGTGAGTATATGGTGTTCATGTATATAATAAATGCGGTCCAGTGCTGAGAACCATGTCAAGTCTATTTTGTGTCATGACTGTGGACGTAACTTGTTCAGTACATAGCCGGAGGACACTCTGTCCTCGTATCCGACTCTGAGATTACATTACATTAGTTGAGTATTACAGGAAAGCATCGAAATATATATATATATATATAGATATTAGGCAACGAGATTCATCGTTAGTCACATTGAAAACCCTTAAATTCGCTTCTAGTTCCGTCTGCTGGCATCCTGGATGATGATCTTGTTCTTCTGCCGCGTCACCTTCGTGACAGTTGGCGCTGGCATCAGGCGCTTCAGCTGATCCTGCCGTATGTTGGGCAGGCCTCTTTCCTTGCCCTTGCCACCCGTGGTCGTGGTGGTTGTTGTGGTCGTTGTCGTTGCCGTCGCGGTAGTAGTTGACTCAATCAGTGCCGTCGATTCGTCCACCGTTGAACTGCAAGAACCGGCCGCCGCCGCTGACGCTGCCGAGGAAGCGTACCGTGTGAGCACCTGGAACTTGGAAAAGATATTCCGCCCAGCCCCTCTTTGCTCCTTGTCCTTGTACTTCTCCAAAGCGGCCCCGCTGGGCGTGGACTTGGGCGGCTTGACCAGAGCCTTGTGATTGGTCGTGGTGGTGGTGGTGGCGGCCGCCTTGTAGAAGTCCAGCTCATAGTCGAAGTCGCCGCTGCTCGTCTGATGGCCGGGGGCCAGGGCACGCTCACCATAGCTGGCTGAACTGGCCGAGGTCTCCTCGGCCAGGTGGCGCAGCATCAGAGTGAGCTTCATCTCGTGCTGCCGCTGGAGCAGGACCGCGTTGCGCTCGCCCTCGAGCCGGGCCTGGCGGACTGCATTGGAGAGGACGCGCTCCTTCCACTCCCAGGCGTCCCGTTCACGCTCCAGCTGCACCAGCTGCAGCTCCAGCTTTCGGGAGGAGTCGCGCAGGTCGATGACCTTGTTGAAGTACTTGTACAGCAGCGTGCGCATCTCCTCCGGTGAGAGCTTGTTGAGGCGCGCCATCAGCATCTGCTCGCCTTTCTCCCGCTGCAGCCGGTCACTGGTGTCGATCGACTTGTGGCCGCAGATGAGCTCGTTCTTGAACTCGATTGCAGCATCGATGGCCTCAATGGCCTCGTCGCACTCGAGCAGCTTGCGCTCCTCGCGCTGAGTCAGCATCTTGTCCCGTTTCAGCTTCCGGTCCAAGTGACAGCGCTCGTCCAGCAGCAAATCTCTGGTGCCCCTCAGATTGCGGATCTCGTGGCGTAGGCTCTCCTGCTGGGCCGGTGCCGGGCCCTCTCCGCCCGCACACTCCTCCAGGTTGTCCGACTTCTCGCGGAGAATGTGATTCAGGTGAGTGATCCGGGCCTGGACTGCCTTCAGCTGTCTGCCCTGCTGCTCCGGAGAGTCTAGCTTCACCAGTTCCTTGCCGCCGCTGGCGCCGTCGCGTGACTCCTTCAGTTTGGCGAGCTCCGTCTCGAGCTGATCGCGCAGCTTGCTCTCCTTTCGGATCTTCTTTTCCAGCTCTTCCTGCTGCTTGCGCGACTCGGCCATGGACTGCTGCAGCTTCTTCAGCTTTTGGCCACTCTCGCCGGCAATGTGCTTCATGGAGCTGAGGTCTTCCAGCCGATGCTCGATGTGGGCTATGATCGCTGACCAGCGCTCGGTCTCCCCCTTTTCCCTGCCCTGGATGAGGGCCTTGGCCAGATGCTTCTTGGCCTTATCGCACTCGGCCTCCAGCTTGGCCTTCTTCTTCTGAAACCGCTGCTTGGCATGGCTGCGCGTGTCGCTGTTCTTCACCAGTTCACTGATGATGTTCTGCTTCACCTGCATCGTCTGCTCGATCTCCTTCAGCTGCCGCTGCCGTCCCTCGATCTCAGCGTGCAGCTTTCGCAGTTTCTTCTGCAGCTGCTCGATGGGCGCATTGGCGGCAGCGGCGGCAATGGCCACCTGCCGCAGCCCTTCGCCTGCGGAGCTCTCCAGGGGATCGATACTCGATTCAGGGTCCAAAACTGGAGGCGGCGGCTGAGCCGTTGGCTGCTGCAAGGCCACGCGATTGAGCAGAGCTAGCTCCGCAGTGCTGAGACTGGCTCCTGGCTGAATGCTACGCCGCCGACCTATTGGAGGATTGGATTGGGGATTAGACACCGATTAAGGGGAATCAATCCACTTTGTCGAAGGACTTGCCTGCAATGCTGGTTTTTCGTTCCTCAATCTTCTCCTTATCTTTCTCGGGCGGAGCATCCAGCTTGCTCTCTTTGTCCCGCTCCTGGCTCTGCATGACTGCCTTGGGATGCTTTGTGAGGAACTCGGCATGCTTGCTCTGAATGAGGGCATCGGTCTTGGCGCGGAACTCCTCCATTAGGCTCTCCAGCTTGTCGGCCAGATCGGGACGCTGCGACTCATTGTCCGTGTCATTGTCGGAGTTCGGGGGCTCGCTGACCGACTCCTCGGGCTCCTCAGCTTCCTGAATGGGCACCAGCTGCTTTTGAGAGCGCATGGCCTCGGTCGAGCTGAGGCACTCCTCGCACTCTTGCTTGAGAAAGAGCCACTCCTCGATCTGCTCCTTCTCCAGTTCACTGATCAGGTTGGAGGCCATCAATCTGGAACAAACGATGGCAAAGAAACTTTAGAAAGCCGCTCTTCCAAAGACTGGCAGCAATCTCA